GGGGAGGGGCCGAGTGGGGAGGGGCTGGGTGGGGAGGGGCTGGGTGGGGAGGGTGGGGCTGGGTGGGGAGGGGCTGGTCACCCCGTGGTGCCCTTATAAAACTCAACGTTTAACCTACTCACGCCGGCTTGTGCCTGCCCTCAGTCGGGCATATTTGCGGAATACACCACGCCGCCGTTGACCCTGGCCATTGACCGAGCAACCCAACGTTCCTACCAGCTCCCTCTGCAGGAATGTGTTTTTTGTTTCTCAGGGGTTATCGGTAATCGCACGCAAATCAATCATTATCGGTTTGCCGGGTATATAGAATTGTCCCGACAATAAAAAATTCAAATCCAACTCCCGTGTGCGTCTCTGTGTCCGTCTGAGTGCGTACCGTGAGCTGAATGACGAGCGCTGACGCCGATGCCTTACGATGACTGTCGCTGACCAATCGGTTCACTGGAACGCGCCTTGGGGTTTGAACGTTCACACCTCGCCAACTGGTTCAGCCGCTACTGTAACTTAACGGAAATCCACGATGGATTCGATTGCTTTTGAAATCGATTCAGAAATGAATTATGGAAATGTAATTATCTATTAACCCCCCTCCCCCTCTATTTCTGACACGGCCAAACTGCAATTTTCGGCCATCGTAACGCGCATTCTCTCCCGTAATGCCCAGGGCCAAAATCAAATGACGGCCGTGACCTCTCAGCAATGTGGACGCGAGGCTCACAACGCCGCCGCGTCACCGCCAAGTGGAGAAGCTCAACGGTGCCCATTTGCATTTCCCAGCGGATCGAGGGCCTGGGTGCCAGACAGCCGCCCCTCGTGCACTCGAGTGCATTCCCCCCTCCACGTGACTTCACCGTAACACAGCCACCCCCGCGAGCACTTGCGGCAAACACCGCAACTGCTCGCGAGCCCGAAAGCCACCGTGCTAAAACTCGTGATCGGAGAGAGCCGGCAAGACGAGTCGAGGCAGCTCGTAGAGAACCACTGGGAGCCCAGTGGCCAGTGTCAAATAAGCGCTTCGAGGGGAAAACGTCCTGCAGCTCGTCATTTCACGCGGAGGAAGAAATTAACTTTCGCGCAGGAGCATTATGCTCTCTTTGTGAGAGAAATCCTTATTCTTAGGTTTTTTCGGTAAAGTCACCGTAGGTAAAAAATTAAAATTAATGATACAGCTATCGTGCTGTGACGGTTCCACCTGAAGACGGAAGCTTGTGTTGCCTCCGAAACGTCGTGATTTTTATTTTATTTTTTATTTTACTTTTATTAATTAAATTTTTTTACCTACGTGACTTTACCGAAAAAACCTAAGAATATGAATCCTTGCAGTCACGAAAGCTTAAAATCTAGAGAAATCCTTGTTTTGTTTCAATACAAGACATCGGCACGGTTGGCTACGTATGGTGCGAAAGAAGTTCAAAGTGCATACACACGATCGGCACCACACCCGGCTGATGCTTTTAATCAGCCAACTTCTGATCGCTTGCTATTACAAATTGACAGCACAAATGGACCTGCAAGCAGCAGCCTCGTCGACAGCCAAGTTCATTATCAGTTATGAGCAATCCGCTGCTGGATGACGGCTTCGCAGGTTAAACGCTGTCATAATTATCTTTCTCTCGAGTGAAGGTTGTTGAAACCCACTGTACGAGATGAATTAGGGGGGCGGTGGTGGGGGGGGGGTTTGGTGTGAGTGAACTCGATGGGCCCGGCCTCCCACCCTCCCTCCACACCTGAAAGTGATACCCCCAGTGCGGGCACCCATCCCTGCTCAGGCCGACCGACCCCATGCAATCGCATTCCAGACCACTCACTCACCGGCACCACCCCGCCACACACACACACGCGCGCGCGCGGGTGCACAACACCGTGCTTTATTGTGCTACTCTGTGATCATCACCAACACATGCCGAAACTCACGTTGCATTTACATCGAACGGTCATTATCGATATCATATGGGACTGTTGGTAGTGACGCGTCAAGCACACAACTATGAACTAAGCTCACTGTATTACCTAGCCAAGCACTGTCCAGGTTCAATTTGACAAGAATGGGGGTTATTCCGGGGTGAATTGGTCATGGGAATTACTCGCCTTGAAGCAGCACGAAAAATAAGCGTCGAGTATTTCAGGAAAGCACCAGAATTCAGAGAAGTTGCTGATGACGACAACGGCAAGAATTTTTGATTTTTTTGTTATACGCAAGTATGTTACCACTCGCCAACGCATTCCATTGAGATCGCACTGCGATAGAGATGACAAATTGTAAAAATGAACTTCAGCCTAGCTGCATGCAAGTGCTGGCTGGACACAAAGTTTGAGATGGAACGTAGTGTGCAGTGGCAGACAGAGAGAGGTCATCCCCTTCTCCTCTAGAGCCCAACACCATCCAACAACCCAAGGGGAGCCGTGGTGGCTATGAGATGTAACTCCCTCCCCTGGTATACAGGAGGTCGTGGCTTAGATTCCGATCATGACACTTGCTGTAAATTTGGAGTTCGCATTTCTCTCTCTCTCTCATCATCACGGTGGCTAGGAGATGTTAACTTCCTCGTCTGGTATACAGGAGGTTGTGGGTTCTATCCTGACCCTAACACCTGCTGCTGTATATTTGGAGTTCGCATCTCTCATCATCACGGTGGCTAGGAGATGTTAACTCCCTCGTCTGGTACACAGGAGGTCGTGGGTTCTATCCTGACCCTGACACCTGCTGCTGTACATTTGGAGTTTGCACGTTCTCGCGTGGCTTTTTCTCCGGGGTTCTCGGGTTTTTCTCCCCCATGTTTAGAAACATGCGTTGAGTCATTTCGCTGCTATAAATTTCCACACGATGATAAGCCACTTCTCGTTGAACCATCATTTGTGATGGACAGGTCCCTTCTGAAAAAAATAACTCCATAGCTCAGTGGAGCCTTACCTGGTAAAAAAAAAAATTTGTTTAGCTTTAGTTGAAAAGCTGCCTCAATCCCTGTTCAATTCCAGATGTAAGACTTCCCGCATCTTCTCTACATATGGCCGAAAGTGTGGCCAAGTCAACGCATCTCTGTTCTCTAAATACCTTCCTTGTTCTGGATTTCCACTTTGCGTTTAGGCATGACACCCATCATCTTCCCCGCAACCTCATTTCAGCAGCCGAGACATTGAAATTCTTTTGTTTTACATATCCTGTACAGCGAGCGGATGTTCAATACAAACAGTGTGGCCAGCTACACAGACAGCTGACGCGAATTGGGGCATATACGAACACGTTTATTTGAATCAGAATCTCTATTTGGACGAGAGGAATCCGATGAGCTACCAATCTCTTTTTCACCGATGTCCAGCATGTTGGGAGCAAGGTAATTAACATCCAGCAGTGGACTGATTATGGCTGATGATGATGATGACAGTCACGTAGTGGCTGGATGCCGGTGGTTAGCACGCTACGGACAACAGATAAATAACGATTCTCTACCACGGTTAACATCAGTCGCGAGCGATTATCCTAACCGTTCCTGGGCTCCGTTTTTCTTCACAACGCACCGACCCAACGTGGTGAAGTATGGTCAAACACCCCCCCTCCACCCCCCGAACCGACCGACACGGCGTGGGGAGGCCACACATTCAGCAGTGGACAGATAAAAGTGGTTGTACGTTATATATTACTATGAGCGAAGAATGTCTGTGTGTAACGCGCGTGACGTCACTCCACATGCCGCACCCCCCCCGTCATTAATATTCATGACAGGGTGGATTTTTACACTCACGCAGAAGAATATCGAGCAGAAATATATAAAAAAAATTACAAATTCGCTTTAAGTTTGACGTTTCTTTATTGAAAGTTAATCTAATAAATAATTATATGCAGCAAGAAAGTGGATTTGGTGTCTTTATTTATTTCTTCAGCACTTGAGACAAAAGGTAAGTCTAATTTATGCTTTAACATTATGGTAAAATTGACATTTATCGGTGATCTTCCAGATATTGTATCGAATTCCAATTTATTTCAACCACAGCGACCGAAAGCAGAAGAGAATAAAGTATCAGAGCAGTGAATTTTAACAAAATGATGGTCAGTTACATACAGTGCTACAATGACATGAAGTGAGGTGTTTCGTGTATTACTTTTTTGCAAGAATCACTGCCATTAATACAGTGCTACAGTGAGCTGCAGTGAAGCGTTTGATGACTTCGTTTCGTGCCAGATTCACTGCCATTAAATTGACACAAGATACAATTATACTCTGCTCAGTTTTTTTCGTAAATAACACAGCTTCCGTCCCAGGACGGGTAAACAAGGTATAGTTGTATATAATAGTACAAGGCCCTGTAATACGATGGTTTACCATGGCATGTAATCAGTACAGTTGTACAACTATAAATATGCAAAAGTGTTCATGTTGTTAAGTACAATTATGATAAACGCACAACACACACGGGGTATACACAGACAGCTTCCTAGTGTCAATCCACTGCTCCAGGTCTCACCCAAGCAGTGTGGGAAGTGGGGGGTCATTTGACCATACTTTGCCACGCTGGCCGGTGTGGAATCGGTAAAGAACGCACACAACAGAGACCGTACAGCCCACATCGGCCGATGTCGTTAGCGAGCACCTATTAAGGGCATCAACACGAAGCGGGTTAGCTGGAGCGTGGTGTTAAGCACCGGGCAACGACTCGAACCGACGAGTCCAAGTTCAAACTCCGCTCGGCATCGATGTTATCAGCCCTCATTATCGGGTGAAATGACTCAAAGAACAGCCACCGTGGCGTGCGTAGTGCACCAAACCGCAGCTTCCATCGCTGACCGTGTCCACAACGCGAGCGACGCAGCCCCCCAATTCACCGTGGAATCTGACAGTGCCAACTGCGGCCTAGCGCCACACGAGGATGACACTCAGACCACGGCCTCGCCTAGCCAGTGCTGCCGGCCAAGTGCGCTCGGCGCCGGTAGGACGTGGGTGGGTGGGGGGGGTGCGTGCGCGGTGGATGCTCTGCAGAAGCCGGCGCGGTGCCTCTCAACTCACAGTCGAGGTGCTTCTTCTTGGGGCCCATGACTTCGTGCGTGGTCGCCTTGCACACCGCCTTGGCCACGGCCGAGCCCGTGACGCTGTGCTGCGCCGCCGCTATGCGGTCTGTGATACTTTGGCCCGACATCGTTGCACCGCGTCCCCGTTCCTTGCTATGACTACGACTACTACTACGGGGAGGGGGGGAGGGTGGAGGGGGTGGGGAGGGGATCCGCACACACACACACAGGGGGGGTTCGCTGGCGCTCACGGACGCATACGGGGAGCGGCGGAGCGCGAACTCAGCGCCTCTGCTCGGAGGACTGAAATGGCCGCCGCTGCCGCCTCCACCGCCTCCACCTCCTCCTCCCAGCTGCCCGAGCACGTGACCTGTGACGTCACCCCAACACCCCCCCCCCACACAACCCCCACACCCCCCACACCCCACACCCCCCCCACACACCCCCCCCCCCCCCACACACCCCCCCCACACACTCCCCCCCCCACACACCCCCCCCACTAATCCCCGCGTCGTCATCGTCGACGTCATAGTACCCCCCCCCCCTCCCGTGTCTAGATTTGAAGCTTTCGTGACTGCAAGGATTCATACTCTTCGGTTTTATCGGTAAAGTCACGTATAATAAAAAAAGAAAAAAATAGAATAAATAAACCTACATAATAAAAATAATAATAGAAATAAAATATTAAAGCACAATATTTCTATTATAATTTTATTATTTTTTATTTTTACCTACGTGACTTTTCCCCCGTGTCGCCTACAACAAAAAAATATTAATATTTAAAATACTTTCTTTTAAACACGCTTTAATGAAATGTACCGTACGAGTAATGGCAAAACTCCACGACTCCAGGAAGTGGCCCCGAGGCTTGCCACAACGTAAGGGACCGTAGCGTGGACAATTAGACCCAAGGCGAAACATAAAATTAAAAAAGATGGTTTAAAAATACTTGTTTTTATTTTTAATGATAGAATATAGTATTGTCATCAGTATGACATAAGTATACCAAGTTTGCAATCGATACCATATTGGGAAGTGGGTTAAAATTTAGTTACAAGATTTGAAGATACGTTCTTGGTTCTTTCGGTAAAGTCACGTGACTTTACCGAAAGAACCAAGAAGATGAATCCCTGCAGTCACGAAAGCTTTAAATCGAAATTTAACAGACAGTAAATTAAATAAAAGCGTCTTAAAAAAGTTATTGCCGTGTCTTTTCCCACCTGATGATGTTTGCTCGTGTTGCAATCGAAACGTCATTTGATTTTAATTAATTTTTAACGACGTGACTTTACCGAAAGAACCAAAGAGTGTGGATTATTGCAGTCACGAAAGCTTCAAATCAAGATTCTACAACACTGTGGCAACACGAGGGGGTGGGGGTTGGGGGTGACAAGCACCCTCGCCCCGGCCGTCTTTGTCTCCCCAGTGGTGATGCTGTTAATCTCGGGGATGAGTGCCAAATGCGTTTCCATAAAAACTTATTTTTTTGTCTCTTGGAGATTTGGTTAGAGGGGGCGCGATGATAGGTAAGTTCGCATCGTGCCGAGGTGGAGAAGCGGCGGAGGCGATAATGATAAAATAAAAACTCTGCGATTCGTTTCGCCTTCAAGATGCACATTGGGAATATCACAGCCTCAGGGGGTCCTTGTCCGTAGAGTGGCCATCTTACGTAGGGAAGTTGTCTCAATGTTCACGTCCCATGGAGTGGGATGGCCATCTTGCGTAGGGAAGTTGTGTAGGTGCTCACGTCCCATGGAGTGGGATGGCCATCTTGCGTAGGGAAGTTGTCTCGGTGCTCACGTCCGTGGAGTGGCCATCTTACGTAGGAAAGTTGTGTAGGTGCTTACGTCTGTGGAGTGGGATGGCCATCTTACGTAGGGAAGTTGTCTCAATGTTCACGTCCCATGGAGTGGGATGGCCATCTTACGTAGGGAAGTTGTGTAGGCGCTCACCGTCTGTTGAGTGGCCATCTTACGTAGGGAAGTTGTCTAGGCATTCACATCTGTTGTGGCCATCTGATGGCCATCTTGCGTAGGGAAATTGTCGGCATTTTCAATGGGGGAGCTCTGACAATCCCCACCCAATATGGCGTCGCGATTGCCTCAACCCCACCCCCCACGTGGATTCAAACTCGACGAGACAGTCCATTGGAATGTGGAATTTCCACCGCTGCCAAAAAATTCTATTGAACGGAGGGATTAGGTGGGGGGGGGGGGGGGGGTGTGCACCGACTATGCTGTGTCAGCCACTATTTTAGTCGATGACATTTAAAGACAGTCACAGTGTTTAAGTGTAAAGGTTTACTTACCTAACAAAAACTCTTAAATCACATTCCCCCATGCCCACGTTAAGCCCTTTTAGTCGAATTCACTGCTGGATGAGGACATCACCACGCCGTGCGGGTCTTGGTGGTTGTTTGCAGAGGTGTGGACTCGAGTCATGTGACTTGGACTCGAGTCAGACTCGAGTCATGAATTTGATGACTTCAGACTCGACTTGGACTTGCATAACAATGACTTTGTCCCACCTCTGGTTGTTTGACCATACTTCACCACGCTGGTCAACGCAGATTACTAAAGCTTGGGGGCAACAAGTACGACGACTGATTTGACTGTACTGCCCTCTTGCTACCCACCATGCTAACCCCGCAAGGTGCCTCTGACAATCTCTGCATAGTGGTCACCCATTATACTGGTAGGAACCTCCTGGTTACACCAGCCCACTAGGAGATTATTGTGTCCGTCCGTCCTGCATCCAAAAATGGGAGGGGTGGGGCTTGGTGGGGAGGGGTTGGTCACCCCGTGGTGCCCTTAATAAAACTCAACGTTTAACCTACTCACGCCAGCCTGTGACCGCCCTCAGTCGGCCATATTTGCGGAATACACCACGCCGCCGTTGACCCTGGCCATTGAGCGAGCAACCCAACGTTCCTCCCAGCTCCCTCCGCAGGAATGTTCGAGCACAAGCAGGCTCGAAACCTGCTTAGCTTCTGTGATCTGGCTCCTTCCAGGCAATTTGGATAAATGAGTGCCCATAAGCCCCGTGTTCTAACAATACGTACACATAATAGAGGCTTTTGGGTTAGATTATGTGATCTAACCCAATAATTGCTCAAGCTGTTCGTTGCCAAAGCCGACGTGTTAAACAAAACTTACGTTTGAATGTGTTCGGTAACGCTGCTGTTGGTAGGAGTGAACAAGCAGTTCACGAAGAAAATCTTTCAAGATTCTCGTCAATAAGCTATCCATTGAATATGACGTTTCAGGTCAATGACCTTTCTTCATGGCACAACAAATGTGTGCCCATAACTTAGTGCGAGCCAGTGTAGCCTTCAACCCATACGGTTTACCTATATTCTTGTACAGGCAAATTGAGGCATACAGCCGTTTCAATATGGGCAAATGTTTTTTTTGTCTATTTGCTTGTGTTTCTCCCTTGTGATGGGCTTTATAGGATGAACGTTGAGATTTATAATGGGCACAGGGTGAGCGATAAGGTCTGAATTGGTCTGTACTAAGATAGGCACTGATAAGGGGTTGACAGGTATGAATATAGTAGCTAGCGCGCACACTATTACGTTTAAAATTTCCCATAGAACTCAGACAGGCTCATCTGGCCATCTAATGTTTTTGATCCAGGTCTGCCTTCAATAATTGCTCGTGGTATTAGACCCTTTTATGTTTACCAATTGTTTCCATTAGGGTCACGCTGGTCAGTGCAGGACCTAGGTTCGGTTCATGAATCACTCGCCACTTCGGCTGACCGTAGCCAGGAATCAAACTCGCGTCACCGGATTCATAATGCAGTGCGCTAACCCACTCCACCCTAACCCTTGTGACAATTATCCTAAAATAAACACACGGCAACTACGCACATCCGCCCACTCACTATAAATATTTATTCGCAAAGACTGACAAACAGGTCCCCGGGTCGCGCCCGCGTGCCTTGCGCTCCTCAGCTTCCAACTTTGAAGAGGGCGGCGAATTTAAAATTCTGTGCCACTGACCGTCCGTGGGTACAGTTCAGGATCGGCACGGCGTCGTGTTTCATCAAGTCACGGCTCGAACCATTTCTCCCCCTCCACGTGGTGCAGCAGAGCGTTCCCGCACTTGCACTTCTTGCCTGTGGCTTTACAGCGCTGAGGAATACAACAAGAAGATGCGGGATCCATGTAACGTCTGAATTCTGCCTGTGACGTAATGGTGAGCACAATGGATTTGCAGTTGCTGGTTCGATTCTATTTCCCAGCGTGGATGTTGAACCGATGGGGAAAGTTTTTTAAATCTCCCCCATCTCTGTCCGACAGTATAAATGGGTACACCAGGTAATCGATTGGCAGGCCATATTTGGTGTGGTTAAAGTGTGGTTACATTATGTCTGGCCAATGTAAAAGAGGATGCCAATATACCCTCTAGACATGCTCTCCAGAGCAGAATCAAAGACATTCTATCTTATGGATATTGTAGCTAGGCTGTGGGTCGTGGCCAGTCCTGACTCCAATCCAAAGCGTCGTTGGTGAAAAAAACTTTAAATTACATTCAAGTGCGTCATTATGGCACTTTAGCGACAACACTATGACGCTAAATCGGAGGAATGGCGTCAGTCACTGACGGAGAACCAGACCTTGATTTTCAAGTATTTTTTTCTCATTAAACAAGCTTCAACTTGCGTGCTTCAGTCCAGGAGATAAGGCCCGTAATGATTAACCTATTAAAATCGATTGTTATGCCGTGAATGATTTATAATTTTAGAAAATTATGAAATGCCGAGGCTACAATAATGCTTTTGGAGGGATCAAAACTAGACGAAATAAGAACATGAGAAAACATACCGATGAAAAATGCGAAAAGGGTAATCGAGTTCTTAAACCAAAGACAACTCTAAAATGTGATGATTCATTGCATTGCTGTTGCCAGGGAGTCTGTGCGGAATTGTTGCGTGCCTCCAGGACAAAGTCTGGGCACATTTTTTCCCCTGAGGGGTGGGGAACCTCCATCACACGGGCCAGACACAGCCCAAGATTTAATTTATATTTTTTTTCTTACCAGGTGAGACCCACTTAGCTATGTGGCCTCTTTCTCAGAAGTGACCCGGCCACAAATGATAGCTCAACCGAGTGACTTATCACGTGGAAATGTATAGCTGCCAAATACTCTAAACGCACGTTGTTTATAAGCGTGGAGAGGGAAATCCGGAGGACCCGTAGAAAAATCCACACGAGCAACGGGAGAGAGAACATGCAAACGCCAAATATGCAGGCGTCAGGGACGGGAGTGAACCCACGACCCTGCTGTATTCCAGGCGAAGTAGTTAACATCTCTCCACGAGGCCATGCATTTAGAAAAAGCTCGCAAACGATAATTATTCGTCACTGCGGGAACCCTCGTCGCACTAATTGGACTATCTCTGACCTGGAAACAACGCTGTCTTTTGTGTCTGTCTGCACCTTATGTTGTGCGAACGCGTGCGCCGTCCTCTCAGGCAACGCATGAGTGAGGTAAAGGCAATCTCAAATGATATTGTTGTATTAATATTGGATGAGATTTTACGCACGGAACTCACGGAAATCCTGAATTTGAACAGTCAGTGAATTATTTGGAATTGCCAAAGGAATACGTCTCTTTCTTGACACGAAACTCATACATCCGAGAAACGCAGCAGGGCATGACACCGCCTGCACCGTGATTCTGCAAACATTGCTTTTGTTCCCCCGCTCCTCGACTGTGACTTTAACTACAAGTTGCAAAATGGGAGTATTATCAGATAACACTGAGATGTGTGCTTGTGTGTTTTTTGAGGGGAGCGGTATTATAGCGGTTAATGAACTGCGCTATGAACCCAGCGACCGAAGTTCGATTCCTGCTCACGGCGAACACTGAGCGATCATCTGAACCTGATCTGGGCCTCCCTTAGGTCGACTCGGCCTCAAATGAGCACCTGGTGTGGTGTGTAAAAATCATTGCCACTGAGGAGACAAAGGCGGTCGGACGTGGTGCTGGCCACCCACCCCCTCGTGTGCCGTGCTACTATGTCAGATGTTCGCTAACAGCACTTGCCTCAAGCCTGTTAAGGCGACACGGGGGATCTTTGTCTGTTCTGTTGGTGAATTCATAGGTGCTCGCTAATAGTAATTTCCCCAAGAGTCTGTTAATGCTATACGGGGGATCTTTATCTCGCCAAAGGTATTTTAACGTCTTATTCGGAACCTCGGTAAAGTAAAAAGGCTCCCCGCCGCTGCTGGGAAGACGTTCCGTGCGGTTGACATACGTAGGAATGTTGAACTTCTTTCGCACCGTCACTTGCCGCCGACGCCGCCGCCATGAGAGAAGGGGGCATCATCCGGCGTGGCGTGGAATTCCCGCAGCGTGGTGCGGTGAAGCGCCGTGCCCCTGAGGCTCTGCGAGCTCGACGATGTAATCTGCAAGAGACAGGAAAAGCCGCTGCCTCCGTGCCCTTCCCTCGTCACGCACGCTGCCACGCTGCGCGCCTGCCCCCCCCCACCGCCGTTCCGTCACGCTCACTGTCACTGTCACGCGCGCCTGCGATGCAGCGCTGTGGAGGGCGGCGACGGTTGCTGGATTCATGCAAGTTCGTGAAACTCCCTCCCCCATACCCGTCGAGATTGCCATCTACTGGCAGTGCAGCAAGCGGGGTTCGTTAACATTTGTACGGTGACCGAGTGTTAGCCTGACCCCCTCGCACGCGTGGGTTTTCTCCAGTTACCCCCGTGAGTGGGGAGGGGCTGGGTGGGGAGGGTGGGGCGTGGGAGGGGTGGGGCTGGGTGGGGAGGGGCTGGTCACCCCGTGGTGCCCTTATAAAACTCAACGTTTAACCTACTCACACCGGCTTGTGCCATATTTGCGGAATACACCACGCCGCCGTTGACCCTGGCCATTGACCGAGCAACCCAACGTTCCTACCAGCTCCCACCGCAGGAATGTGTTCTGAGATTGTCTCTCTGTGCACTCCTGTGTTAATTATTACCTACCGCACATAAGTTGGTCATTGTGAGTGACTGGGGGAATGACTCATGTAAATATTCTAATAATATCCTCGAAAGGTTAAGAGCTCCAATTTAGTGCAAACACAGCCGGGTCTGTGTTGACAACTAGAAAAATCAGAAAACCACATTCTTTTTTAACATTTTGTACCTCCTCCTATCCCTATTCCGGTATACCAGCTTTTGGAGACTTGCTCAATAAATCTAAATTATAAGAAGACCTTCTGTGGTCGGCGGCATCCATGAAATAAAACAAAAATAAATCGGGTTCTGTAACTTGGTAAACAACACTCGTCTCCCGAATGAATGTCACCGTTCACCGGAGTACATGCGCATCCATCCCCGCAGTGGGCATTATACTGGTAGGAACCACCTGGTTCCACCAGCCCACAGGGGATTATTGTGTCCGTCCGTCCTGCATCCAAAATTGGGAGGGGTGGGGCTGGGTGGAGAGGGGAGGGTGGGGAGGGGCTGGGTGAGAGGGTGGGGAGGGACTGGGTGGGGAGGGGAGGGTGGGGCGGGGAGGGTGGGGCTGGGTGGGGAGGGGCTGGTCACCCCGTGGTGCCCTTATAAAACTCAACGTTTAACCTACTCACGCCGGCTTGTGCCCGCCCTCACAGTCGGGCATATTTGCGGAATACACCACGCCGCCGTTGACCCTGCCATTGACCGAGCAACCCAACGTTTCTACCAGCTCCCTCCGCAGGAATGTGTTTATTGGACAACACCAAAGGTGTGTGTGTGTGTTCACGTATGCTTGCCCGCCAACTGGAGAGCACGGTAGTGTAGTGGTTAGCGCTCTGTGCTACGACCCCGGCGACCGAGTTCGATGCCTGTTTTGTATTGTACTATTTCGTATTGTGTGTGTATGTGTGGCGATGTATTTTTGCCAACTTCTTTACAGGTCCCCCTCGCAAAAGATGTTTTTAACCTCAAGGGGTTTTTAGCTGGTTAAATAAAGGTGAAATAAATACAATCTAAATCGGTCCTAGGCCTGCCCTAGGTTGACTCAAATACGTACCTGGTGTGGTGTGTAAAAATATCACCAGAGGCGGTCACCAAAGGCGGTCGGGCGTGGTTCTGGCCACGCACCCCCTCGTGTTGCTAAGTGCACTTGTCCCTACAGCCTGTTAAGGCTATACGGGGGATCTTTGTCTTGCCCGCCAAAGGTATTTCAAAGTCCTATTTGGAAACCTATCGGAAATTCTGCACTGTATCTTCTTCTGAATGGCAATCTTTTTTTTTAGCATGGGTTTGAGCACACAATTTTGGCGCATGCACATGTAAAGAATGTGCAGTGACTTCTCGTGCCCGTGGACATATGTACAGATAAAATCCAAGAATAAAACATCATGCAAATGAAGAGGGTCGAGTGGTGACGCAATGCATCTGAACCCAACAACCCGAGTGTTTATTACTGGCCAGGGCTAACACGTCAGTGGGCGAGGGGTATCTGAGCCGATCCTGGGCACACCCTTGACTTGACCAACCCGCGCTGCCCAGCGTGGTCAAACAATCCAGAAAACCAATCCACAGTAGGGATGTCGTCGTCCGCCAGTGGATTGGCGAAGAGCGACAAATGACCACTTATACAAATGGCAGAGAGGCAGACCTCGGGAGAGAGGCTGATCGGAGTGGTGAAACAAGATGTGAAGGACTGTGGATTGAATCTGAATCAGAGTGTTTATACTGGTAGGAACCTCCTGGTTACACCAGCCCACAGGGGATTATTGTGTCCGTCGTGCAGGGAGGGGCTGGGTGGGGAGGGGAGGGTAGGGAGGGGCTGGGTGGGGAGGGTGGGGCTGGGTGGGGAGGGGTGGGGCTGGGTGGGGAGGGGCTGGTCACCCCGTGGTGCCCTTATAAAACTCAACGTTTAACCTACTCACGCCGGCTTGTGCCCGCCCTCACAGTCGGGCATATTTGCGGAATACACCACGCCGCCGTTGACCCTGGCCATTGACCGAGCGACCCAACGTTCCTACCAGCTCCCTCCGCAGGACAATGCGTTTTCATGGAGGAATCCAATGAGCCATGAAGCTCTCTGGGATGCAGCGACAGGACAGGGCGGCGGTGGAGCACCCCTGTAACCCGGAAACGTGGAGGCAAAACTCCCTTCCCATGAGCGCTGAGGTGCCGCACCCTGGCTTGCCAGGAGAAGGCGGTGCACGGCAAGTGCGGACTCCATCTGTCCCTTCTGCGTTAGACGGAGCGTTTCCCCTTTCGCATGCGTGTGTTTTCTCGGGGTGCTCCGGTTTACTCGCATGTATACGTGCTCATTAATCGGCCGATAACACCTTAATATGTAGAGGATTGCAGATCTTTGGCAGGAATTTGACACCGGCTCCTCACCGCTGATAACACCTTAATATGTAGAGGATTGCAGATCTTTGCCGGGAATTTGACACCGGCTCCTCACCGCTGCTAACACCTTAATATGTAGAGGATTGCAGAGCTTAGCCGGGATTTGACACCGGCTCCTCACCACGTGGCTACTACCTTTCTCTCCCGCTCATCTGCGATTCCTCCTTGTGCCTCCAAGTCACTCTCTTTCTTTCTCTCTCTCGCTCTATGACAGCGATGAGCAAATACGGTGCAGCTGCGGTGGTGGCGCAGTGTTTACGAGTAGCCAGCATCGTAACAGGAACGGGTTGAGAAACGGCGACCAGCGAGGCACATTGCAACACGAGTGGGAACATTGCCAGGAATGAGCAAAACGCAAATGTGAATCCACGATAATAACATTTCGCACGATGACAGACCCCTTCCACGCAGAAGTCAAGAGTGCTGTACATGTATGGGCAAGAACAGAAATAAAATGCATGAGGAAAAAAAACCAATAGGGACATAATAAAAGCACACAGGCGAGTGATAAAAAACACCCCACAAAATAAAATTAAAACTCCCGAAGGTAAATACAAATATTGAGGAAAAGACCTTAAATGATATATTTGTGTGTCTTATAGCGGGCTCCGAGTAAAGCCGAGAAAACGCGTCGGACCCAACATCTGGTGGAAGCCACCAGAATGATATCTGCGGGCGACGTTGCGGCACCACACGAGACGCGACATCGCAATCGCCCACGTAGCTTGCAATGCGCGCTGCCAAACTAATCACGTGCGCACACCCACGTGCCCGTCTGGTGCTGCATTGGCTTCCAGTCGCCGAACGAGTATGTTGCAGGGTCGCGCTCATTGCGCACACAAAGCGCTTGCCACAAACGAGCCACGATACCTCGCTGATGTGGTCAAGGAGTTATAAACCATCATCATCACCACGCCAATTCCGGTCATCCTCACAGTAGCAGCAGTAGCGGCTTTTGGCTCAGCCATCGAACAAAGACGGTGGTGGTCACCGCATCATCGCACGGCACTTTCAGATGCGCTGTTTCTGCGGCTAGAATGCTCTTCCTTCCAATTTTAGGAAGTCACTGGAGCTACACACTCTTAAATCTGGAATCAAAACTCATTTCTTTAGAACTGACTTTTGTGTTTAGTTTGTTGTCCTTCGCCCGCACTGTCGATTAGCGCAGTTGGCTATGTACGGCGCGAACGAAGTTCAATGTACGTACGTACACAACGCTGTTTGTTGGTCGCCGGAAATCGGCGGGTGGACAAGATCATTTTTTATCGCCGTCGACCATTGTCCGCTACAGCCTGCCATTATTCTTTTGCCGCGCACATTTCTTTGTTGGGTTAAACAATGCGTTTGCCGGCGGGGAGTCGGAGCCAGCGCCGGGATTGCGAGACCTTCCCGTACTCAGCGAGGCGTCGCTGCAGTACGGCCGGGGGTGGAGGGGGGGGGTGAGAAAGAGAGGAAAGAGAGAGAGCAGCGGAGAGGGGAAGAGACCCCTGCAGGTGACTGGGACAGCTAAGCGATGACGTCGCCCCCGGCTGCCCGCGGGAACTTGTGGCGTAACATCGCAAACCAGTCCAAACGCGACCTGCAGCCAAACGCACCGTAATCCTGATGGTATTTATTTAGCTTTTTTTAAGCTTTATGTTTTTACACGTATACAATCTTTCCCTCCCACCCCAAGTTTTTTTTCTAAGACAGTTGGGCTATCGGCGTCGCGTCACCAGACGAAGGACCCACTTGGAGATCTCTCGCGGGGAAGTGTAAACCAGGAGGCCGTAGCTGTCGAGCGAGAAAGCAGCGGACGACTGCGCCAGGGGGCTGCGGGGCGAAGGAGGGGAGTGGGGAGGGCGATTGGACAGGGAGCTGCAATTCATTTATTTGCAGGAGGGTCCAAGCCAACTATGGCCCATTAAGCTAATTTATCTGTTCATCTCAATGGGAGTTGGCAGTTCAAATAAAGTCTCAAGTACTCTTTGGTTGTTTCGGTAAAGTCAAATAGGTAAAAAATACTAAATGAAAACAACTAAATTAAATCAGAAAAATAAAATAAAATAAAAATAAAAATGAAAACAACTAAATAAAATCACGACGTTTCGGAAGCAACACAAGCCTCCGTCTTCAGGTGAATTTTTCCACAGCAAAATTACTGTGGCGGTTCCACCTGAAGACGGAGGCTTGTGTTGCTTCCGAAACGTCGTGATTTAATTTTTATTTTTTTTTATTTTATTTTCGTGATTTAATTTAGTTGTTTTCATTTTGTATTTTTTACCTACGTAACTTTACCGAAAAAAAACAAAGAATATGGATCCTTGCAGTCACGAAAACTTCAAATCTAGAATTAAAGTCTCAAGTCTAAAATAAAAGGCTAAAAACACACCCCACGAGCCGAGAACTGCGAAAGCGGATGCCACGGAGCGACTTCTGCGGTACCTTCAAGCGACGTCTGGCCCACACAGAAGGGGGCAGCACTTGTCCACAGATCTTCCCTTGTAAATAAGACGGGCAAGCTGGCTGAACGGCACTGTTCGTGCGACAATTCCAATAACCTCACCTGCTATGTTGTCACATGACAGTCAAACACCGATATGTTTTAAATTCTCAGAGCTGGAAATAAGTGCAGCGCAAAACTGAATTTAACATGATGTGGTTTTTTTCTGCAGTCATTGGTGCCCCAGGCCGAGACCTTCAACTCCCTACACTTGAGAACCCGGTTTAAACCACAGCTCAAGGTTATGTGAATCGATGAGTCTCTATTTGAGTCTATGGGTCTCGGTTTAAATCACAAGTGGCCGATGCCAGTTTAAATCTAGGATCTCAGCAGTGCCGGTTCTACGAGCCACCCATGCACCCTTCCCTGGTGGCATTTATTGACATGTGCAGCAAACGCACACTTGCCAGAGGCACTGTGACCGCAAGCACAGTCACTGATGAAGCAGGCTGAACTTTCAAAAAGCAAATTAACTTCAGTTAGGGGTTGGCGGGACAAGTTTAAGCAGGAAAAATTTACCCGTAAAAACAAAGTTTTTCACTATAAATCCTTTATATGCGTGGCGGCTAGAGTCCTCTCGTCCTCTGGTCTGAGATGGCTGCCACCTATGGGTCAGATGATTGCCTGGCACCATTAAGCAATTGGTAATTAAATATAATTTATTTTTTCCTAAAAAGTGTAAAATTTTGGATTTTTTTTTCACGAAAATTAATTGTCACGCACAACGAGTCTGTGTGGAAAATGTCAGCTCGATTGGATCACGGGAAGTGGGTTAAAAAACGACCGAAAAAATGTGCACGGTCGGAAGCGCGCAAGCAAGCAAGCGAACTTAATATAAAGGATTTAAATAAAAAACGACCGAAAGATTTGCACGGTCGTAAGCGCGCAAGCAAGCAAGCAAGTTAACTTAATATAAAGGATTTACAAAGTAAGCTCCTTGCTTCGATTAATCATGCAGAGGTTGCGAGGAATTCTGGGAAGCTACCCACAATGCATTGCACGCCTCGCTAAAGGCTCAACTTCTTGTATGTATGTTTAACACGCAGGCTTTCGCGACCAATATAATCCATAATAGAGGTTTGTTTGGGTTAGATCGCGTAAATATATAAATGTATCGTTAAACCCGCCACCACCCTACACAGCTAACTAATAAGGGTTGTCACGTAAACAGAACGTGCCAATTCGTCACTAGGACAGCAACACCGGTGTGTTGGAGAGTCAAGCCACAACATTTACAATCTGTTACGACGTTTCGCCAATAATTACAATAGCTTCATCAGGCGACAGCCAGATTTGTGGAGAAGTCCACCTGTTTCGTTCCTTATATATATGTATGTATATCCTTGTATGTATGTATGTTGAACTTTTTTCCAACCATACGTAGCCAACCGTGCCAACCGGAGGTGCGAGTGGGAAGAAAAAAAAAACTACAAGACAAAAAGCAGTTCTGAAGAAACGAGTTTTCTTGTTACGTATGAATTATAAACAGGGACGAGAAAATAATTATCGCCGAGCTCTGGTGAGCGCCGACACCACAAGAGTGCCGAACGCTAAACTCCGTAGACAGCAGGGGTGGTAGAATCTATTCCTCACTTAGAGGCAAATCGATTTTTATATTTCTAGATATAAAAAAAGATGTTGCCGTGGGGGCCACGCGCATTAATGACACGCGACCCGTGTCACGACCGTGCCATCAAGTGGCCCACGCAGTGACATCAGTGACCGAGCGCAGGGGCTACATTTAGAAAAGGCAGTGTTGTTGTCAGGTAGAAGATAGTACTCCCCCCGCCCCCCTCTAGTACCCGATTAATGAGGCTAAGCTGCTTGCAGTGGGGGCATGTGGAATGAAGTCACGGGCCAGGCCGTAGACTCCCCACACCTACCCTAAAAAACACTTGGCAAGAGGAGTGAAGGAGAGAGGAGCGTATGGAATGGTAGCGGAGAGTGTAGAGGAGAGAGTAGTGGAGGTGGTGGAGTTGTTGTTGTTTGACTTGCATCCCACTGGGATTTTTGCACACAGCGTTGGTGTACGGTGTTTTTTCTGCAATATTTTGCTGTCTTTTCTTGGATTTTCTGTTTGCACTTAGTCACATATTCACTTTAAGATGTTTTTTGTTCATGTTTTTTGTTTGTTGCGGTTGCACCCGATTCAAGAACCGAACGGCTCACAGGGCTATACCTAATAATGACCTTGAACTTGAACTAGAGTGCAGGAGAGGGTAGTTGAGTGTAGAGAGGAGAGGGTAGAGAGGGGACGGTAGCAGAGGGTTCATGAGCGTAGCGGAAAGTGCAGGAGAGGGTAGAGGAGAGTAGAGGAGAGTAGAGGAGAGTAGAGGAGAGTGCAGGAGAGTGCAGATGAGAGAGGGATAGGGGGCAGTAGCAGAGAGGGGTAGACGTAACGGCTCCCACCTTCACGGCGACGTAGTCTCCGCGCTGCGCGGATGCAAGAGCCGGGGAACCGGCGCCGTCGGGCAGCAGTACGTCGGGGAACACCACGCGAGCGTTGCCGTCCGTCCGCCCGGACAGCTCGAACTGGGAACGCCGGCTCGCCTGTCGGGGGTCACGCGCCGCCATTAGCTACGGGTTCGACTCCCGCTCGCTCCAAAAGTCACTCCGCGGTGGGGGGGGGGGGGGGGCAACGTTGCGTCGATGACCACGGTCGCAGACTTCTGGAAAGTTTTTAATTTTCCACTTGTGCGAAAGCTATCCGCACCTGCCATGGTTTGCCAAGTGGAAACGCTCTGTAGTATGTATGTTGAACTTCTTTCGCGCCGTGAATGGCCGGCCGGCCGACCGCGCTAATCGGGAGTTGCCATTCGGAGGTGGGCTGGACATCTGTGAAAAATTACTTTGTAGCTCATCGGATTCCTCCAGGATTAATGAAATATTCTGATGCCGACCTTCAACCGGTACCTGTCAGCAAGGCCACAGGTTCACGTAATTTTGGGGTGCTGATTCCAAATTTTTGTCTATCACGTCAGGTTTTTGAGATATCAAATATTGCATTTTCAATAAAAACTGCAGAAGAAAAATATTCAATAAATGTGGATATCTACATAAAATGATATTATAGACACATTATCCTAAAAATACAGCACCATATTTTAACACTAAAGCAGTCACTGACTCGCAACAACTTGTAATCATAAGTGACAGAGTTAATTTCGGGTAAAATCAATGAAAATGGGGTATGCCGATAGCATAAAAATGAGATGTGATAGAGCAAATCTGAGATCAGATTTGGAATCAGCACCCTGAAATTAGTCTAAAACAGCTGCAAAAGTCCAGGCCAGAATTTTTTTTTTTGTTGACCAGTGTAATCGCTCCGCATCATTTACTCGTTTCTGTGTATTCTCTGTACAGTCCCTTGAGCGGCAGTCGCGCGATCGCTGGGGCTGCACTCGTGTCGCTTTGACGCGGCCCACTACCAGTAGGCGACATTCCAGATGCCTCGCAGACGTCACGTCAATCTTACTCTCGTTTTGTCCCGGCAAGAATATTGCCACTCGAAGCACCATCGTCACGTCGACACTCAAGACGTAAAAATTAGAAAGATTATAAACAGTGAGAAAATAATCTAGATATATTTATAAACCATCTACAGCTGTTTCAAATGTAGACAAAACTTAAGAAAGTTGTGGTTGCGAGTTAGTTGCTGTATGCAAACGCACCAGCGATGAGCGTGGTTGGCTAAGTTCCGTACGAAAGAAGTTCAACATGCTCGTACGTACAAAGGAGGTGCATTGTCAAGATTGCTTCGGGGAGGGGGGGAGGTTGTTCAAGAGGTGTGGCGCTGGTAATATGCTAGCAGTGTCAATCACCCAAAAAAACACGTGTTTGCTTTTTAAAAGAAAAAACCTACCATGACATTTTGGTTTTGGACACAGGGAGAGGGGGGGTGCAGTGATTAGCGTGCTGCACTAGCAGACCGGTAACCCGAGTTCGATTCCCCAGCTCTGGTTGTCGAGCGATACGTCGACCGATCCCCGACTCACCCCCTCAACGAGCACAAGCTGGGTGGAGCCGACCCTGGCAGCGTTGAGATCGGAGGCCGACTCACGGAAGGCGGCGATGAGCTCGGAGAGGCGCCGCTGCTTCACGGAGGGCGGAACGTCGTCCTGCAAGCGGTGGGACGCACGCGTCTTCTGCTCCACGCACGCACGTGTTGCACAGGGACACACACACGCATGGCCAGTGCATCGACTCGGATCCGTTACAAATGAGGAGGTGCATGTCTCTGTGGGGTGTGCGGGCGGAGGGAGGTGCAGGGGAGCTGGAGAGGGGGTGCAGGAGGGTGCGGGGTGGTTGGGCGAGCGGACCTTGCGCATGCTGTAAGCGAACAAGTAGGCGGTGTCGTAGCCCACGGTGCGGATAAGCGACAGCGAGTCCTCGTGTTCGCTCTCCGTCTCGCCGCAGAAGCCCGCGATGAAGTCGCTGCTCAGACTCACGCCTGCCGAGGAAACGCGACGGCACACGCACTGGGTGAGCGCCTTCCCCCCCCCCCCCACCTTATACCACACGTGCCGCTAGATGGGAGGTGATGGGCGGGGCTCGGTGATGTCACTGGAGTCATTAGCCTTCATATTCTTAGGTTTTTTCGGTAAAGTCACGTAGGTCAAAAATTTAAATTAATAAAAGTAAATAAAATAAAATAAAAATCACGACGTTTTCCACCTGAAGACGGAGGCTTGTGTTGCTTTCGAAACGTCGTGATGTTTATTTTATTTTTAATTTTATTTTTTTACCTACGTGACTTTACCGAAAAAACCTAAGAATATGAATCCTTGCAGTCACGAAAGCTTCAAATCTAGAAGTCATCAGCCTTGTCACGATTTGCATGGCTTGTGGAGGGTTTCCAGCCTTCGGGAGGCGAGATTTGGGGGGCCATCGCCATTTTCAAAGGCCAGTTGAACACGTGTGAGGCTTTCGCGACCAATATTATTCATAATCAACGTTTTTGGGTTCAGATCGCGTTATTTATAAATGTGTCGTAACCCTCCACCACCCGACACGGCCAATCAGCAAAAAAGTGTCACGTTGACAAAAGACAAATACTTCACTGCTTTAGCCCAGCGTGTGGATACACGCTTCAACACACCGGTGGGCTAAAGCAGTGAACTATTTGTCTTTTGTCAACGTGACACTTTTTTGCTGATTGGCCGTGTCGGGTGGTGGAGGGTTACGACACATTTATAAGTAACGCGATCTAACCCAAAAACGTTGATTATGAATTTTCAAAGGCGTCAGAGTATTTTATGTCGAGTGACTTGCTTACCTTTACAATACTTTACACACCTATTGTTTGTTGGTGTAACTTACTGACCCGCCCCGACTGGACATCTGTGAAAAAGAGCTTCATAGCTCGTCAAATTCCTCCTCCAGTCTAAATAAATATTCTGCTCCTGAGTCGTGGACAACAGAAATGTAGTCGATTACTACCCACCAATTGGTCAGCGCAGCTGACAAGACTCCTATCGGCCAATACTAAAGGCCCAAATTTCGATTTAAAGCTTTCGTGACTGCAGTGTTTCATCTTCTTGGTTCTTTCGGTAAAGCCACGTAGAAGGGAAGTAATAAAATAATAAAAATAAAACATAATAAAATAATTCTCACGTTTCGGCCACAACGCAAGCAGCCGTCTTCAGGTGACAGACCTGTTTCTTCACCTGAGGACGGCTGCTTGCGTTGTGGCCGAAACGTCGTGAGAATTATTTTATTATGTTTTATTTTTATTATTTTATTACTTCCCTTCTACGTGACTTTACCGAAAGAACCAAGGAGACTAAAGGCCCAGTTACGGTGTCACTCCAGCATTGGTCAAAATCTAGGACACAGTCAATGCTCTAAGCTCCTATTCGCCGATGACAGAGGTACCATTGACAACTCAATCCTCTCCATTGGTTAACTCTGAGAGGCAAGATTGCTCTCTTTCTATTGGTCAAGGGCGCACCTGGGATCATGTCTCGGATGTGATGCACCAGCTCCATGTAGGCCTCCCGCGTGTGCCTATGGGACTCGCACACACACAAAGACAAAGATCCCCCGTACAGCCTCATCAAATCTCTCTAAATAGAAAACGAATTTCTTGACAAGAAATTTGAGTTTTCTTTCGCACGTACGGTGCGAAAGAAGTTCAACATACATGTATACATATGTAGAGGTGTTACGTACCGGGGTGTAGCAAGCCATTACGAAGCGGGGTCTACATCCGCCGTTACACATATAATCAGACTGTTGGGGCAAGTGCTGTTAACGAGTAGCACCTATGCAGGCCTAGATGGCACACAAGGGAGTGGGTGACCAACACCATGCCCGGCCGCCTTTGTCTTCTCGGTGGCGATGTTTACACACTGCACCAGGTACTGATTTGAGGCTGAGTCAACCTAGGGGAGGCCCAGGACCAATTCAGATAGTCGTCACTGGTGTTGACCGTGAGCGGGAATCGAACTCGGGTCACCGAGTTCGTAGCACAGCATGTTAACCACTAATAAGTATAACCCGTAAAAACAAAGTTTTTCACTCTAAATCCTTTATATGCGTGGCGGCTAGAGTCCTCTCGTCCTCTGGCTTGAGATGGCTGCCACCTATGGGTCAGATGATTGTCTGCCAGTATTAAGCAATTGGTAATTAAATATTTAATTTCTTTTTCCTAAACAGTGTAAAATTTTGGAAAAAAAATTTCACGAACATTAATTGTCTCGCACAATGAGTCTGTGTGCAAAATGTCAGCTCGATTGGATCACGGGAAGTGGGTTAAAAAACGACCGAAAGATTTGCACGGTCATACGCAAGCACGCAAGCAAGCAAGCAAGCGAACTTAATATAAAGGATTTAAAAATACGCTGCCAAGCTTAGCAGTGTTCATTAGGATGCTGTCTTTCCGACAGCCCTGTTCTTCACCTGAGGACGGCTGCTTGCGTTGTGGCGGAAACGTCGTGAGAATTTTATCCTATGTTTTATTTTTATTATTTTATTATTTCTCTTCTACGTGACTTTACCGAAAGAACCAAGAATTTGTTAACCACTGTACTATCGCTCCCCACACACACGCATGCACACACACATATGGATCTAAAGGGTCTCTATCCGGTACACTGATAGAACAATATCGTAGATATTTATTTAGAACCTTCATTATTGAGTCTATTTCCTAAATATTTTGACGAGATATATTTTCTTTACAAAATATGAGCCGATGATAATCGCGATGACGACACTGCCGAACGGACGGCGCGATGAATGTGGACCTTATATCGTACGACGTACAGCGGTACCGCCACATCGCGGGAGCCGTAGTTGCGAACGCCCGTGATCTCCCGGCCCGTGACCTCCCGGCCCAGACCCCAACCTTACCCTCGGCCCATGCGGGCCAGCACGCTGGAGCTGCCGCTCTGAGCCGGCAGGTGGATCTGCTTGCAGATGTTTGGTCTCTCCCTGATCACCTGGAGCACCTACGCGCGCGCAAAAAAATACACAGATCGCCCCCCACCACCCCATAGCCTTTAACAGACTGTTAGGGAAAGTGCTGTCAGCAAGCACCTATTAAGGCCGGCACTGCAAACAAGGGCATGAATGGTTAGCACCATGCCCGGGCTGCTTCGTCGATCTCAGGGAGGCCTATGGCAGATTAAGATACTCCTTGCCGATGCTGACTGTGAGAGGGGAACGAAGTCGGGTCGCCAGATTCGTAGTGCAGTACGCTAGCCGCTACGCTAGACATCACAAAGGGGAAGATCCCTCCTATAGCTTTAACAGACTGTTGGAGCAAGTGCAGTCAGCGAGAACCTATGAAAGCCGGCACGGCACACGACGGGGTCAGGTGGCCAGCACCATGCACGGCCGCCTTTGTCTCCCTAGTGGTGATATTTACACACTGCACCAGGTACGCATTTGAGGCCGAGTCGACTTAGGGGAGGCCCAGGACCGGTTCAGATAATCGTCACCGGTGTTGGCCATGAGCGGGAATCTAACTATAGTCGCCGGGTTCGTAGCGCAGCGCGCTAACCACGATACTACCATACACACGCTCACCTAGACACGCTCACCTCGACACGCTCACACGCACTCGCACCCACACACACACACATCCACACACACGAACCTACACACACACGCACCCACACACACGAACCTACACACACTCGCACCCACACACTCGCACCCACACACACACAACCACACACACACACCCACACACACGAACCTACACACACTCGCACCCACATACACATCCACACACACGAACCTACCCACACACACACATCCACACACTCTCGCACCCACACACTCGCACCCACACACACACAACCACACACACACACCCACACCCACGCACCTCGTCGGGGAAGTCCTTGGGGTGCGGCGACGTGAAGCGCACCCTCATCTCGGGGTCCAGCTCCGAGACCGCGGCCAGAAGTTCGGCAAACCGCACCTCCCTCCGGTCCGGCGCGGGGGGGAGGCGGCGGCACACGGAGCCAAATCCCCGGCTCAGCGCCGAGGGCCCGCCGTCGGGAGGACCCTCCGGGGGGGTGCCCGCGGCCGGCTGGGACGTGTCACAGTAGCTGTTGACGTTCTGACCCAGGAGAACGACCTCCTTGACGCCCTGCGAGGGGGCGGCGATGGACGGACCTCGGGTAAAACTTGCGGTCGCGCTGCGTTGGAGCTCGCCAAAAGCGTTTCCTGGTTTGGGCGGCGCGCCGTGCAGGACGATGTCCGTCGTTACGAGCCACGTGCCGGTGAATTATTTCAGTTCTTTTTATTTTTTTAGTTCCTAAAAGAAGCTCCCGGCATGCGAAGTGAAATGATGGCCACCGCGCTGAACCACGCGCGGCACAACCAGAAAATACGTAAGAGGCCAATACCATTTCTAAACGTTTTGGAATTGAAATAACGATCTTTCCTCCCATTTATTATATTGCAGTGGTGCTGTCTGTGCATAGTACCTGCCATTGATAGGACATGTGGATCAGACACATGGACATCTAAAAAGTGTACAAAGAATCACGCCGCAGAGACAGAAAGCGGAACCCATGGGACTTAGAGAACGCACGCAAGTCAGAAACATTGTGTTGACCGTCCACAAAAGTAAGTGTGGCTTGGGCAGGACGCGTCGCTACAAAGGCCGATGGTTGGTGGTCAAGACTAATGATGGGAGTGGCAGCCAAAGGCTGGAATACAACTTCGAGGACTGGGCCATCGTCTGTGGCTCCCACCAGGACCCACCTGCTGGAGAAGCACCCCAACCTCCGCCAGCACGGACGCCACGGGGCGGCTCCGCTCCCGTCCGCGGGTGAACGGGACGATGCAGTAGGTGCACATGTTGTTACAGCCACGCATCACCGAGCTGGAGGCGGGGGGGCATGGGGAGTGGTGAAAGGGGCAGCAGTGCGTTATAGATGAGCACGTAAGAATTCACCGATGTTCTTCTGAAGTGGTCTACCATGTGCAGCGTGTCCTCTAAATTCCAGGATGCGCAGGACATGGGCAGAGGTGGCACAACGGCGGGTACACTGGGCTCTCCACCCCGTCCATCCTCATCATCACCGGCCATGATCAATCCACCGCTGGATGAAGGCCTCTCCAAGCCATCGCAATCTTTCACGATTCCGCCGCGCGAACGATCCAATCGAGCAAATGCACGGGAGTCGATTTAATCGCTCCAGGGATCTATTTTGGCGGCGGCGGCAGAGGCTGCGGAGGCTTACACGAAGGCGGAAGGCGCGCTGGGGTCGGCGCGGAGGGGTACGACGTCGGCGTACGTCTCGTCGACCGACAGCGCCACGTCGATGGCCTCCCGGTGGGAGCGGGCGCGTGCCAGCAGGTGAGGCAGGCCGCGGTAGGCATCGGGCCCGGCCACGATGTCAACCGCACGCTCGCGATCCACGATGTCGCGCTTCAGCCGCTCCGCCATGCAGCCTGCACGCCGCACGTCATCATCGAGCGGAACGATTACAAATTACATTTTTTTAAATGTTTTACACACTCCAGGTAAGGCCCACTGAGCTTTGTGGCTGTTTTTCTTCAGCGACTCGGCCACAAATGAGAGCACAACGAAGTGGCTTATCGTCATCACATGGAAATGCAATTCTAGATTTGAAGCTTTCGTGACTGCAAAGATTCATACTCTTAGGTTTTTTCGGTAAAGTCACGTAGGTAAAAACATTTTTTTATAATAAAATGATAGAAATAATGTGTTGCGCCCGAAACGTCGTGATTTATTTTATTTCTATTATAATTTCTATCATTTTATTATTTACTTTTATTTTTACCTACGTGACTTTACCGAAATAAACCTAAGAGTACTCTAAATGCACGCTGTGGATTCGAAAACAGCAACTTGTGACTGCAGTACAGCATCTCCAAGAAATACCGCGCTACTTCAGAAGTTGGGTATCATGAACCGATTGAAAACTTTCTTCTTCAGGCGCATAGCCCTTGGTCTTGGTAACGTTGCGAATGTCTGACTTACGGTTCTCCGACCCAGTAATTACATCACGCAATACAATGATGTCATGCTGTAATGCAATGACATAATTGCTACGTCATGAAAATTCCTTAACACCGTACTTACCCATAGATACTCAAATTTATAGGCCGCGATTTGTAAATTGTAGGTTTTCAGAGACAATATTGATTGATAACAGATGTTTGGGTTTGGCCATGCATACAAGCGCTTAACGTGGCAATTATTACTGTTGTGTAAGTTCACCGATAAAGAAACTCTCAACCAAATGAAGCAATTGTGATTTGATGTTTTCCTTGAAAGTGCATTAAGCAGCTTCAGGAAAATCGAGAAAAATTCAGTTTGTCATTTTGCTTTACTTGAGTTTTGGTTTAAAATGTCTTATTCTGAATTGTATTGAATTGCGGCCTGTACCCAGAATGCCGATCTGCAGGGCCGCCCCTCCACGCTTCTGCCGCTCGTGCTTGAGGTGGCGGAATCGCTCCACCCGGCGCCACACCGTCTGCTCCGCCTTCTCCCTACACGTTGGGAGCGACAAGCACTCATGTGTCAGTCCAACAATCGTGACGGTGCGGTGTTTTCGCCACCCCACCCCAAATTGTATTCCAATTGTGATATCGGAACCTCAGCACAGAAATGTCCCCCGCCCCTGGATTAGCAAACACGGAAAGAAGAGACGAGGCGGTGAGCGGTAGTGAAGATCACCTGATGGCACACGTTACTGCCAAGATGACATCCGCCTGGAAGACAACAGCGAAGAATTAACAACAGTACAATATTTCCACCGCTTACCCATGACAGTCTCAATGTGTTTCAATACATTTTGCCTGAACAGCAAGAGAGCCCTACTTTTGAACGTCCCTATCAACTTTGAATAGTTTTCCTTTTGTGTCAGAGGAACATGAAGTGCTCGGAGAAAACCCACACATGAGCGGCTTCACCAATTAGGCAGCCTCACCAGGTAAGACGCTTCAGCAGTGTCACAAACATAATCAGTGTCGTCTAACCACTCATGAATATTCCCAGTACGGACGCCAGTGTCGTTTTAAAAATGTTGCTTAAAAGCCATACGACAAAAGGGCTAAACGTATGAAAATGCGAGGGTGCAAGATGTGCGCTGTGCAGTGGATGGGGCAGCAGTGGTCTGTGATATTTTAAGGCTCGTGTGGTGTGTGTGATCCGGCATTGTGTGGCATGATGGAAGGGGAGGAGGAGGGCTCCTGCCATATTAATGTCTGGAGATAGCCGGCAAATAAAATATACTTCAATCTATGGATTATGCGATGCACTTTTTTCCCCTATAGTTTAAATAAAGAGTTGGGGATGGAGTCTTAAAATCTGACAGGCATGTGTGACCAATTTTGTCAAACATTATTGACACCGGGCACGAGTTTGGGGCGCGTCTTACTTTCCGGAGCATCTTATAATCCGGAAAATATGGTAAAAAATAACAATAATTAACATCTTCTGTGAATCCACTCTTTGATAAACGCCTCCCTACACCGTGTCGTTCATGGGGTTCAGCGACCATACTTCCTCCACGCTGGTCAGTGTAGGTTGGTGAAGGTGGAGCAGTGACCGATTCGGATGGCAGCCGTGGCCAGGGATCAGACTCCAGTACCGTACTCTGGTTCCAAGTGCAGTCCACTAGTTGACGCCGAAGACAAGCTTTCACCTTCTTCAGATTAAAATTTCGATTTTAAGCTTTCGTGACTGCAGGGATTCATCTTCTTGGTTTTTTCGGTAAAGTCACGTAGAATGGAAATAATAAAAATAAAACTTAATTAAATAATTCTCACGACGTTTCGGCCACAATGCAAGCAGCCGTCCTCAGGTGAAGAACAGGTCTGTCGAGAAGACAGAGAGACAGAGTCTGAACATTCAGACGCTGTTTCCATTCTACGTGACTGTACCGAAAGAACCAAGAAGATTCTTCAGACTTTCCAATAATCATGGACACGCAGTTGCGTAAACCAGGCAATCTCAGTGCTGTGTGTGGTTTGGTAGCCAGTGTGAGTGCTGTGCGGGTGACTAGCTGTGCCTCTGTCAGGTTGTCTGTTCGGAAGTAGCCTTGCTTCTGCAGGATGGCCCACGCGATCTCAGTGTCGCTCGTGTTCATCTGGCATCCGTACGTCTCGAAGTAAACTTCGCACGGAGACAGCACAGAGGCACACAAAGAGAAAAAGAGAGACAAAGATTCCCTGTGTGAACTCGCACGGGCTGTTTGCAGAAGTTCTGTTAAGGAGCACCTATGAAGGTTGCGACAACGCACAATGGGGTGGTATGGCCTGTACCATATCCGGCGGTGGCCTTTGTCTTCCCTGTGCTGAAAATTATGCACTGCAACAGGTACTCATTTAAGGCTCAGGTCGGTTCGGATATTCACTACTAATCTAAAATTTAACTTTTTTTTATTTTACCAGGTAAGGCCCACTGAGCTATATCGCTCTTTTTAAGAAGCAACCTGGCAACAAAAGCTAGCTCAACGAAGTGGCTTACCGCGTAGAAATTGATAGCAGCCAAATACTCAAATTGCATGCGGACTCTTAAATGTGGAGTGAAAAACCGGAGGACCCGGAAAAAAATCCACGGGACCACGGGGAGAGAAAGACACGCAAACTCCAAATATACAGCAGCAGGCGTCTGGGTCCGGATCGAACCCACGACCTCCTGTACACCAGGCGAGGTAGTTAACATCTCCTAGCCACCGCGATGATGATGAGAGAGAGACACGCAAACTCCAAATATACAGCAGCAGGCGTCTGGGTCCGGATCGAACCCACGACCTCCTGTATACCAGGCGAGGTAGTTAACATCTCCTAGCCACCGCGATGATGATGAGAGAGAGACACGCAAACTCCAAATATACAGCAGCATACCAGGCGAGGTAGTTAACATCTCCTAGCCACCGTTGAGCCCAATTGTGCGGCACAAGGCTTGACAATCAAACAATCTGGAATACGCCCCCACATCATAAGATCATGGAGGCTCAGCAGGTTTGAGCTTGGATAAATGTTTATACGAGTGACCACCACAATGCACGCCAGATGCAGAGCTTGTGCTGTGTCGTGGTCAGCAAAGGGCATCGCAAAACATCACGTGTTCCTCCTGTACCGTACTTCTATGCTCCCACTAAATCTGAAACGCAGAGTTGTGAGATAACAAGAAGCATCCCTCCCGCCCTCTAGTGCCCGTTTAGTGCGCCAATATTACTCGGAGCGACGGATAAAGACTGAAGTGGTTAAAAGCCTCATGGGTTCGCATGAAATGAGAATGTTTCTGCTATAAATATCCAAACGATTGGGGCCACTTTGTTGAGTTATCATTTGTGTTCTAGATTTGAAGCTTTCGTGACTGCAAGGATTCATGTTCTTAGGTTTTTTCGGTAAAATTAAAATTAATAAAAAGTAAAATAAAAAAAAATAAAAATTATTGTATTTTTATTTTACTTTTATTAATTTTAATTTTTTTACCTACGTGACTTTATCATTTGTGGCCAGGTCGCTTCTGAAAACTAAATGAACACCGCAGTGGGCTTTACCTGGTAGGATGGGGATGGTTTAGTTTTATTTTAGTATGTGTTTGGGTGATTTGTTTACCTTCCGTGTACTTTGCACTCCTATCATGTCTTCGTATTGTGTGTTGTAACGTTCTTACCCGCCCCAACTGGACATGTTTAAAGAGTTTCGATTTAAAGCTTTCGTGACTGCAGGGATTCATCTTCTTGGTTCTTTCGGTAAAGTCTGTCAAGTAGACAGAGTCATTCAGACTGTCTACTTGACACACCTGTTCTCCACCTGAAGACGGCTGCTTGCGTTGTTGCCGAAACGTCGTGAGAATTATTTTATTATGTTGTATTTTTATTATTGTATTATTTTCCTTCTACGTGACTTTACCGAAAGAACCAAGAAGATTTTGATTTAAAGCTTTCGTGACTGCAGGGATTCATCTTCTTGGTTCTTTCGGTAAAGTCACGTAGAAGGGAAGTAATAATTTTATTATGTTTTATTTTTATTATTTTATTACTTCCCTTCTACGTGACTTTACCGAAAGAACCAAGAAGAAGAAAAAAAACCAAGAAGATGTTTAAAGAGCTTTACAGCTCATCGGATTCCTCCACTGGAAAAAAAAACCAGCATTCAGATTGTGAAACAGCTGACGTCTTTCTCCCAGCCACGCTCACCCTTTCGACCGTGTCCCCACAGCGCGTCGGGTCGCAGGTAAGGCGGCGTGAGGTCTTCATCCTCCTCCTCGTCAACCTCGTCTGCCACACCGCCCTCTACGGACGCCTGTACAAAGTCCCGCAGGGAAGGACCCTCGCCTAGCCGCCGTGCCGGCTTCCCCGCACCGTCTCGGGCAGAGACACCAGGCCGCGCGTGGTCGTGGTCGTGGTGGTGGTGGTGCCCGTGCGGCGTCGCTGCTGTGCACAGCTCCGGGCCGCGTGTGCGGGCCGCGTGGGGCCGCGCGAGGAGGGCCCGCAAGGAGCGGCACAGGCTGGCCATGGGGCCCGGGGGCCCGGGGCGGGCGGACGGGCGGTGGGTGGGTGACAGCAGCGACCTCGTGCCCGCCGCCCTCCAAACCCCGCACGTGGAGCAAGACCGTTCAGGGGTGGAGGGGTAGAGGGGGGTGTGGAGGGATGGAGGGGGTGGAGGGATGGAGGGGGGTGGAGAGGGGCGGAGGGATGGAGGGGGGTGGAGGATGGGGGGGCGGAGGGATGGAGGGGGGGAGGGATGGAGGGGGGTGGAGGGATGGAGGGGGGGTGGAGGGGGGGCGGAGGGATGGAGGGGGGGTGGAGGGGGGGCGGAGGATGGAGGGGGTGGAGGGATGGAGGGGGGGGTGGAGAGGGGGGCGGAGGGATGGAGGGGGGAGAGGAGGGAGGGATGGAGGGGGGGTGGAGGAGGGTGGGAGGGGGCGGAGGGATGGAGGGGGGGTGGAGGGATGGAGGGGGGGCGGAGGGATGGAGGGGGGGTGAGGGGGGTGGGGGATGGAGGGGCGGAGGGATGGAGGGGCGGAGGGTGGAGGGAGGAGGGAGGGGGGGGGGGGGGGGGGGATGGAGGGGGGGCGGATGGAGGGGGGGCGGAGGGATGGAGGGGGGGAGGGATGGAGGGGGGGCGGAGGGATGGAGGGGGGGATGGAGAGGCTGCTGACGTCATCGAATCTCAAAGTCGGCCATATTGGTAAGGGAAGCATTTGTCTTGAGATTCAGAATATTGATTTAATTATCGATTTAAAGCTTTCGTGGCTGCAGGGATTCATCTTCTTGGTTCTTTCGGTAAAGTCACGTCGAAGGGAAATAATAAAATAATAAAAATTAAACATGATAAAATAATTCTCACGACGTTTCGGCCACAACGCAAGCAGCCGTCCTCAGGTGAAGAACAGGTCTGTCGGGATGACAGCGTTTCAGACGCTGTCATCCTGAGGACGGCTGCTTGCGTCGTGGCCGAAACGTCGTGAGAATTATTTTATTATGTTTTATTTTTATTATTTTATTATTTCCCTTCTACGTGACTTTACCGAAAGAACCAAGAAGTTTATTTAATTAGTTTTGGAGGAATCCGATGAGCTGAAACGCTCTTTTTTTCACTGATGTCCAGTTGGAGCGGGTGAAGAACGTTACAACAACAAACAGTACAAAACATGACAAAGGCGGTCGGGCGTGGTGCTGGCCATCCACGACCTGCGTATGCCGTGTCGACCTTCATGGGTGCTGCTGCTCGCAAACACCACAATCGATTGTTTTTGGGTTAGATCGCGTAAATATAGATGCGTCGTTAAACCCGCCACTGCCCGACAGCCAATTCGCTACTAGTACAGCACACCGGTGTGTTGGAGAACAAACCCACAACATTTACAATTCGAGTACGACGTTTACAACGTTTCGCCAGTAATAACAACCAGCATCATCAGGCAACTCTGGCTGTCGCCTGATGACGCTGATTGCTGTTGTAATTACTGGCGAAACATCACGGTACTTGGAATTGTAAATGTTGCTGTGGGTTTACTCTCCATTAGACGACCGGTGTGCTGAACCAATAACGAATTGCCCCACGTTTTGTTCACGTGACAAACCTTTCCCGGCCACGGGCGAGCGCGGACTCCGCGTCTTCATGCCGAAGTCGACCCCCGGCCGGTACGAGCCCCAGAAGCGGTCGGGCGACGCCGCGGGTAGAGGCGTGGTGAGGCGCGCCGCGAGCCGCCAGCGCACGTACGACGCCTAGCAGAACCAGGCGAGGCCCACGGCGCCCAGCACTATCGCCACGTTGAGCAGCGCACCGCCGATGTCCCAGCTCGGGAGCCGGGCGGCCCCTTTCCTCGTGGGCCGAGGCATGGCGCCCGTCCGTCGTGTCGCCGGGCCGTTATCGTCGTCGATAACGGGTCGTTATCGTCGTCGATAACGGGTCGTTATCGTCGTCGATAACGGGTCGTTATCGTTGTCGATAACGGCCCGGTGGCGGGTTTAACGACGCATTTATAATCACGCGATCTAACACCAAAAGACAATCTATCGTGGATAACATTGGTCTACTAAAGCCTGCCTTATACTGCTACTAGCGTTGGTGTACGGTGTTTTTTCTGCAATATTTTGCCGTCTTTTCTTGGATTTTCTGTTTGCACTCAGTCACATATTCACTTTAAGATATTTTCTTGTTCATGTTTTTGTTTTTTGTTTGTTGCGGTTGCACCCGATTCGAGAGCCGAATGGCTCACAGGGCTACACCAAATAAATTAACTTGAACTTGTTAATTAAACGAGCACTTGCCCCAGGCAGCCGTCGAAGGCTGCACGTGGCAGAAGGGGAAAGGGGGGGGGAGGGGGTCTGAGTCCCCGTTGTGACGTCATCGGCCACCCGACGTCATCGACGGTCGGCTTCCGGGGTCGTGTCGCTCCGTTTGTAAAGGGCAGCAGACGCGTGGGTTCGTCGAGTAAATAAATAAATAAACAAACACACAAAGGGGTCAAACAATCAAACTAAGACGCAACAAAGGGGTGCAATTACACGCCGCATATCGAAGCGCAGCGCTGAGACCCGAAGCGTCAGGGTGTAGGGGGGAACCTAAGAAACGCGGCAAGCGATTGTCGATTCCCTAGCGGATCGATCCGGAGATTTTTTTTTAAAATCGAATCTTGCTAATCGACACACGGCGTGCTGCTGCCCGTTAGAAACGCTGCGTTCGTGGTAAATCAGCGAGCGGGGGTACAGCTCTATACTTTAACAACAACAAAGGGAACAACAGACTCTGCTGTGGGTGGGGGATGGGGATGGGGTGGGGGAATCGGTTTGCGGAATCGAATTGCGCGCGTCACAGAATCGATTCGCGTGGTGTCCGTGTCCACGTCTGCCCTTATCAGCGTTGGCCATTGTGAGCAAGCCTCCTCTAACATCTCTCTCTCCTCTCTCTCTATCCTCTCTCTCTCGTCGAAAGCTCTCGCACAGAGCACCGCAAGAGTTGTCGTGCGGGCAGCGAAGGGGGACGCGGCCTCCGTGGTGCGTACACCCGACACGTGAGTATACGTGCGAATGAATGAATGGGGTTCACCGAGCCATTGAGAATGCACCACGCACATTGTAAATGTCACATGGATAGACTCGTCCCCACCACCCCCCTCCCGACTACACCTTGCCCCGCCATAGGAACGTGGAATTTCCATCACTCGCACTGCGCAGGGCGCTGTGAACGGAATACGCGCCCCGCATTGAATGTGCTCTCATTCGTGGTAAGCGCATGACTTTTTGTTTGATAATTGTTTTTTTACCCTTCTATCTGGCAACAAAACTGACACCTTTTTTTTACAAGGAGTCATGTTTGCATAGACCGCAATACCTGCAGTCATAATACAAATAAAAACATAACTCTGATAATGTGTGCACCGTCCTTGAGGTTGATTGGTCCACACCCGAGACAGCTTTCTTTAGAGCCTAGTCTCACATGGTGTTGGACCAGATGACGCTAAAAGGCGCACAACTCAAAGACAATGCACCACCAGAGTATGAGAGCTCGGGGTCAAGCATTTACACCATTGGAACCTCATTTGCCAGTAAAAAATATGATAATTGTTTTTTTACCCTTTTATCTGGCAACAAAACTGACACCTTTTTACAAGGAGTCATGTTTGCATAGACCACAATACCTGCAGTCATAATGTAAACAAAAAACACAACTCTGATAATGTATGCACTGTCCTTGAAGTTGATTGGTCCACACCCGAGACAGCTTTCCTTAGAGCATAGTCTCACATGGTGTTGGACCAGATGACGCCAAAAGTTTTGTTGCCAGATAGAAGGGTAAAAAAACTATTATCATATTTTTACTGGCAAATGAGGTTCCCATAGTGTAGACTTTTTGTTTGTTTGACTAACAGTGTTTGATGGGGGGGGGGGGCGTTTGCAAATCTACTGCTCGTCATTGTTGACGGGAATGGTTAGTTAAACACGTAGCATGATTTCGCGACCAGTATCATTCATAATAAACGTTTTTGGGTTAGATCACGTTATTTATAAATGTGTCGTAACCCTCCACCACCCGACACGGGCAATCGGTAAAAAAAATTGTCACTTTGACAAAAGACAAAATAGTTCACTACTTTAGTCCACCGGTGTGTTGACGGGAATGATTGTGGATGGCGAGCCTTTAAAGTTTAAATCCTCCGTTTCTTTGCATCATCCAGTGGCGTCTACGTATCATGATTTAAATTTCTGGGGAGGGGGAGGAGCGGTGTGGTTTGTTCGTCTCATCGAGTATATTAGCTAGTGGAACAATAGCTCTGCATTTTTACACGCTTTCTTTTAACTCGCTCTGTCTGTTGTTGTCGTATCTTCAAATCTTGTAATTCAATTTTAAACCACTTCCCAATGTGGTATCGACTGCAAACCTGGTATACTTATGTCATACTGATGACAATACTATATTTTATCATAAAAAGATATTTAAAAAAAAAATATTTTTTATACTCTTTGGTTTTTTTCGGTAAAGTCACGTAGGTAAAAAATATGAAATAAATTAAAATGAAAACAAATCAATTAAATCACGACGTTTCGGAAGCATTTTTTAAAAATGTATTTAATAGTTTTTCACCTACGTGACTACCGAAAAAAACAAAGAGTTTGGATCCTTGCAGTCACGAAAACTTCAAATCTATAATTATTTTTAAATGTTATGTTTCGGCTTGGGTCTAATTGACCACGCTCAACTGACGTTGGCTGTAATTGGCCAGTCCCTGACGTTCTGGCAAGCTTCAGGGCCACTTCCTGGAGTCGTGGAGTTCTGCCATTACTAGTACATTTCATAACAGCGTGTTTAAAAAAAGTTTTTTTTTTAATATTACTTATTTACATTCACACCGGGTGGATGTATTGCCGCGTCAAATGTAGTCTATAAATACACTGTCGTAATTTCACCTGGTTTGCCATTAGCTGCACCTATTTTCAAACGTAAGAACGTGCAAAGTAGTTACTGGCCAGTTGCATTCATCCACCGCAAGTGAGAACTATCCACGTATTTTGTCTTCAAGGGTTAATTAGGTTGGAACGCAATGTGTGTAATGGTTCTTGTGTGTGTGTGCGTCTGCTCATCTCGTTCCGTGTCTTTCTGTCTGTCTCTCTCGTGTTTGTCTTGAGTTTTTGTCTTTGCATATTTTCACTTCTGTCCGGCTTTTCAGAATTATGTTTTTTTCTGTGTCTTCTTCGGGGTCTCCATTTGTCCCGCGCTCTCCGTGCGTCTCTCTCTCTTTGTGGGTCTTTTAAACTGCAGATGCAGTTGAAAAAAAAGTGACATTTCCGTGATTCTACGAGTTTATTTGTTGGGCAAATACTTGCAGGTCAAAGGTCAAGACCGTGTCGCTGACGAAGTCAAATATTAAATGAAATGTGCCCACCACCTATTTGTCAATGTGCCGCGTATTATTGGTTCTTTCGGTAAAGTCACGTAGAAGAGAAATAATAAAATAATAAAAATAAAACATTAAAAAATTCTCACGACTTTTTTTTCTATTTCCACCTGAGGACGACTGCTTGTGTTGTGGCCGACACATCGTGATAATTTGTATTATGTTTCATTTTTATTATTTTATTATTTCCCTTCTACGTGACTTTACCGAGAGAACCAAGAATATGAATCCCTGCAGTCACGAAAGCTTTAAATCGAAATATGTTACGCTTGTTTAACCAGAAAAGCCTCACAGAGTCTGATGGCACTTTTTGAGTAGCATCCTGCCATATTTTTGCAGCAGGGGGCGATGATTACTGCAAGTTACTCAATCCCAATTGAGTAATCCCAGTCGAGTAACCCCAATTGACTAACTTACAGGTAGCGTTTCACATTTGGACAATGGGGCCACGCCCTCTTTGGTGATGTACTTTCACTCGGCCCAAATGCTCGCGAAGGGAATTCAGGTCATGTGTGTGCGTATGTTGAACTTCTTTTGCGCCGTACGTAGCCAACCGGGATAATCGGAGGTGCGGCAGCGGGGTGGCGGGGGGAAGGACAACAAACTACACGTAAAAAGCAGTTCTAGAGAAATTAGTTTTCAATCTAGATGATTCAAAAGTACATAGCTCCCAGTGGTCTCCTAACATCGGAGGGAAAAGCGTTCCAAAAAGGAGGAGCGTTTCATCGGAAGGAAGAGCTTCACCCCCACGAAGCGAGACCGGCCCTGAGAATTTAAAACCCAGGATGTCGGCAGTACCAGCTCAGTGTTTTTAACCTCCGGGCCACCTGGCCTCCCCTGGAACCGCGTTTGTAGTTAAACACTCTGCGCCACTGTCACACCCTCCACCACCCTGTAGGCCATGCCAGGCCCCAAGCAGCGTCCTTCCCGCAAGGCGGCGGCGGCGGTGGCGGCGGCCGGCGGCACTCGCCCAGCCGCCGACGACGACGATAACGGCCCGGGGACGCGACGGACGGGCGCCGTGCCTCGGCCCACGAGGAAAGGGGCCGCCCGCCGCCCGAGCTGGGACATCGGCGGCGCGCTGCTCAACGTGGCGATAGTGCTGGGCGCCGTGAGCCTCGCCTGGTTCTGCTGGGCTTCGTACGTGCGCTGGCGGCTCGCGGCGCGCCTCACCACGCCGCTCCCCGCCGAGCCGGCCGTGCCGCAGGGCTCCTCCCTCCCCGCGGCGTCGCCCGACCGCTTCTGGGGCTCGTACCGGCCGGGGGTCTACTTCGGCATGAAGACGCGGAGTCCGCGCTCGCCCGTGGCCGGTAAAACAAAAAAATATTTTGTAAAAATTTTATTTTACCAGGTAAGGCCCACTGAGCTGGATGTCGCTTTTTCAGAAGTGACCTGGCTGTCACAAATGATAACCAAATGAAGTGGCTTATCTTCACGTGCTAATTTATAGCAGCCAAATACTCTCGAACGCGTGATATTGATTCTAAATGTGGCGGGAAAAACTGGAGGACGCGGAGAAATGTCCATGCGATCACATGCATCAGGGTCGGAATCGAATTCACAACCTCCTGTATACCAGGCGAGGTAGTTAACATCTCTCCACCACGGTAGTGCGAACCAGGACCACGAAGTTCCTTCTACCCCGATGCTTGACTTCTCAATGCCCTGTCTTTTTTCACACTCACCTGTCTTAATTCACACTCGCATCTTTTTACGCTTGCTTGCCTTCACAACTCACCTGGCTTGACACTCAACTGTCTGGCTTCACACTCACCACTAGGCAGAAGTTGCAAACGGGTTTTGATTCCTTACCCGTACCCGGCCGCACCAGGGTCACAAACGGGTACCCGTACCCGGCCGTACCCGTACCCTACCCGTACCCGGCCGGGTACGGGTAGGGTACGGGTATCGGGTACCCGATTGCGACCTCTGGAATGAAGCCATGTTGCAGGCGCGGGTGGGTTGATTCTAGGAACTTGAATTGTGAGAAGAGACAAGACGTTGGGAAATGAGTGACAAACGGTTACTCACCAGTGACTCACGGCCTACCCGTACCCGTACCCGGCCGCACCAGGGTCGCAAACGGGTACCCGTACCCGGCCGGATACGGGTAGCCGGGTATCGGGTAGGGTACGGGTATCGGGTACCCGGTTGCGACCTCTGCCACTAGGGGCCTTTGGGATCTCCCCCGTGGCCACTCTCTCTCTCTGTGGGCCTGACGCAGGCCTCATGTGGATGGAGCAGACGGCAGGAGGCGGCGTGGGGCCCCTGCGGCACACGTGCGAGCAGGGCGACGCGCTGGCGCGCTACGGCTGGCTGGCGCACGACGGGCGCCACTTTGGCGTGCACGAGGCGCTGGAGCGCGACTTCTCGGTGCGCGCCGCGTTCGTGAAGCGCGCCGGCGGGGCGCACGGCGGAGACTGGAGCTGGCGCGTCACCGTCAAACCGCGGGTTCGTCCGTTAGTTTGCTCCGGGAGACGTTTTCGCCCCGCCCTCGACGTCACGTTACGCCGTCTGAAATGGTAGACTCGCAATTTGTTTTTTTCTTACCCAAATGTTATCTTAGGTGAGTGAATCATTCTAATTTAACACATAGGCTTTCGCAACCAATATTATTCATGATCAAGGTTTTGGGGTTAGATCGCGTAAGTATAAATGTGTCGTAACCGTCCACCACCCGACACAGCCAGTGAGGTTTGTCACGTAAACAACGTGCCGATTAGTTTACTACATCAGCCCACCGGTGTGTTGGAGAGTAAATCCACAACATTTACAATTTGAGTAGTACGACATTTCGCTGGTAATTACATCCAGCATCATCGGGCAATTGGCCACTATCTGTAACTAATTGGCGCGTTGTTTACGTGACAAGCGTCACTGGCTGTGTCGGGTGGTGGAGGGTTACGACACATTTATACTTATGCGATCTAACCCAAAAACCTTCGTGATGAATCGTTCTACCTTGCGCTGCGTTAGCCTTCCGAGCTACAAGCAGGGACGGCCCGTAACATCTCGGCATAAGTTCAAGTTCATGTATTAGGTATAGCCCTGTGAGCCATTCGGCTCTTGAATCGGGTGCAACCGCAACAAACAAAAAACAAAAACATGAACAAAAAACATCTTAAAGTGAATATGTGACTAAGTGCAAACAGGAAATCCAAGAAAAGACAGCAAAATATTGCAAAAAAAAATCACCGTACACCAACGCTGTGTGCAAAAATCCCAGTGGCAGCGCTCCAGCCGGTGGCGGCGGGGGGCCCCCTGACTTTGGTTTGACGTTCCCAGGCGTCGGTGGAGGCCGCTCCGCTCGTCTCGCTGCTCGTCTACGTGGCCACGGACGGCCAGGGCGTCCTGCGACCCCGCGTGGAGCAGGGGGAGCGCCTCGCGGCGGTCGACGGCTCGTCGGAGGAGTTGGGAGACTTCCGCGTCACCTTCGCCGCGCCCACCGCGCCCAAGACGAACGACGCCAAGTATGCCAGGTGCGCGCGCACGCAGAGTGACGCCGACCCCACGCAGAGTGACGCGCGGTCGAAGAGTGACGCGGCAGGTGAGGCGAAGTGACGGATGTACAGAGTGAGCGCGCGTGCGTGTCGAACTTCTTTCGCACCGCACGTGGCCAACCGCGCTAATCGGAGGTGCGGTCAGATGTTCGATTGCCGATGGCGATTGCTGATCGGCCAGGGCCAGTGACACCGACTGCCGATTGGCTGCTGGCGGCGCAGGTACAACAGCCTGCGGGCGCCACTGGGGGGGCTGGAGCGCGTGACGGAGGTGGTGCGCGCCAGCCTGAGCGGCCGCTTCGTGTTCGGCCCGGACGATGGGGAGGAGCGGCGCTACGTCGTCGCCGTGGACGGGAGGCAGCTGGGCGCGTCCGAGCCGAGCGACGGCGACGGCTCCACGCTCGTAGTGCACCAGCTCACGGCCAGGGCGCCCTTCCAGGTGCGGCACGGCGACGGTCTCGTCTCGTCGCAGGCCATCCTCACCGGCGCTGATCTTGCCTCGCTGGTCACTGCCTGGTCACTGCGACCTTGCAGTAATCTTACATTGCAAGGTCGCACTCATTGCACACGCAAACTGCTTTCCACACATGAACCACAATATCTTACTGATTTGGTCAAGGATGAACAAGCAGCATCACGCGAACTCCGGTCATTCTCGCAGCAGCGGCTTTTGGCTGGCCATCGAACGAAGATGATCACCGCATCACCTACCTTCAGATCAGAGGTCGCAATCGGGTACCCGATACCCGTACCCTACCCGATACCCGGCTACCCGTACCCAGCCGGGTACAGGTACAGGTAGCCGCACATGATTCACCCCAACCAATGAGTGAGAAGGCCGTGAGTCACTGGTGAGTAACCGTTTGTCGCTCATTTCCCAACGTCTTGTTTCTTCTCACAATTCAAGTTCCTAGAATCAACCCACCCGCGCCTGCAACATGGCTTCATCCCAGAGGGCGCAATCGGGTACCCGATACCCGTACCCTACCCGATACCCAGCTACCCGTACCCGGCCGGGTATCGGGTAGGGTACGGGTACCCGTTTGTGACCCTGGTGCGGCCGGGTACGGGTACGGGTAAGGGATCAAAACCCGTTTGCGACCTCTGCTTCAGATGTGCTTCTATGGCCGTCTGGAACGCTCTTCCTTCCGATATTAGGAAGCCATTGGAACTATGCACTTTTTAATAATTTAGATTGACGAACTAATTTCTTTAGAACTGCTTTTATTGTTATGTTTGTTGTCCTTCCCCCGCACCTCTGATTAGCACTGTTAGCTTTGTACGGTGTGAAAGAAGTTCAACCTACATGTGGTGCGGTTACAGTGTGGGTACATTACGTCTGGCCACCGTAGAAGAGTAGGCCAAGATACACTCTAGAGATGCTCTCTAGAGCATAATCAACTACATTTAATCTTATGGATGTTGTACTCGTGCTGTGGGTCCTGGCGAGATGTTAACTACCGCTCCTGGTATACAAGAGGTCGTGGGTTCCATCCCGACCCTGACGCCGGTATTTGGAGTTTGCATGTCTCTCTCTCTCCATGGTCGCGTGGATTTTTCTCCCGTTTTTCCCTCCACATTTAGAAAAATAACTATATAGATCAGTGGGGCCTTACCTGGTAACATAAAAACTAGTTTATTTAATAGTTTTAATCCTTTGTTGGTGATGACAAAAAAAAAACAATTTCAATTTACAGTGAAGTGCGCAATCACCTCGCGCGTACCACCTCTCCCGTAGGTTTCGCGTGCGCCGCCCACGTAATCCGTGCCCCCCTCCCACCCTGCGCCACCTTGCGCAGATGGAGGTCCTCTTCGAGTCGGGCAGCGTGGAGCGGCGTGACGGGGCGCTGTCGGGCACCGCCCTCACGCGGGAGCTCGCCGCCCGCCAGGCGGCGTTTGACGCTCGCTTCGAGCGCACCTTTGGCCTCGCGGGCGCCAAGGGCTTCCCTCCGGCGCAGGTGGCCTTCGCCAAGGCGACGCTGAGCAACGCGCTGGGCGGAGTCGGCTACTTCTACGGCCGCTCGGTGGTGCGCTCGCCGCTCGCGGACGAGGGGCCCGTGCTCTACTGGCCGGCGCCGCTGCTCACCGCCGTGCCGTCACGTTCCTTCTTCCCGCGCGGATTCCTGTGGGACGAGGGATTTCACCAGCTGCTGGTGTGGCGCTGGGACGCCGAGGTGGCGCGCGACATCATCGCCCACTGGCTCGACCTCCTCAACTTCGACGGATGGATCCCGCGCGAGCAGATCCTGGGCGCCGAGGCGCAGAGCAAAGGTCGGGGGTCGGGGGTCGGGGGTGGGGGGGGCGAACATCTTTTTGGGGGGGAGCGTGGAGGTTCGCGTCGCTCGTCGCCGCGGCGACGGTTCGCTTTGGTTGCCGCGGTGCGACTCGTTTTGTAGCGTCTACGGTGGTGTTGTGTGGAGTTTCGATTTAAAGCTTTCGTGACTGCAGGGATTCATCTTGGTTCTTTCGGTAAAGTCACGTAGAAGGGAAATAATAAAGTAATAAAAATAAAACATAATAAAATAATTCTCACGACGTTTCGGCCACAACGCAAGCAGCAGACGCTGTCTTCCCGACAGACCTGTTCTTCACCTCAGGACGGCTGCTTGCGTTGTGGCCGAAACGTCGTGAGAATTATTTTATTATATTTTATAATGTTTTATTTTATTGTTGTGTGGAGTGTTCGTACTGTTTGAGTCGTATGTGCCGGTCTGGCTCATCAGGTTGTCCTGTCGTGTTCCGTCTCATTTGTACGGTCTCGTATGTAGATGTCTGTAACGTTGCTAGGCTTCATTTGTCCTGATTTTCTTGTTTGTTTTGTTTTGTTAATGTTGTACGTGGATGGAGCAGATGGTCTATTTTTGGTGCTGTCTCATTTGTATCTTCCATTTCACTTGTACTGGCATTTGCATTCTCATTTACACAAGATGCCATGGTACTGACCCCTCCCTCCCCACCCTCCCCTCCCTCTCTCCCCACCCTCCCCTCCCTCCTCTCTCTCCCCTCCCTCCCTCCCCACCCTCCCCTCCCTCCCTCCCCACCCTCCCTCCCTCCCTCCCTCCCCACCCTCCCCTCTCTCCCTCCCTCTCTCCCTCTCTCCCCTCCCTCCCCACCCTCCCCTCCCTCTCCCTCCCTCTCTCCCCTCCCTCTCTCCCCTCCCTCCCCACCCTCCCCTCCCTCTCCCTCCCTCTCTCCCCTCCCTCTCTCCCCTCCCTCCCCACCCTCCCCTCCCTCTCCCTCCCTCTCTCCCCTCCCTCTCTCCCCTCCCTCCCCACCCTCCCCTCCCTCTCCCTCCCTCTCTCCCCTCCCTCCCTCCCTCCCCACCCCCCCTCCCTCCCTCCCCAGCCTCCCCTCCCCTCTCTCCCTCCCTCCCTCCCTCTCTCCCCTCCCTCTCTCCCCTCCCTCCCTCTCCCTCCCTCTATCCCCCCCTCCCCTCCCTCCCTCCCTCCGGCGGTGTGCCCGATTGCTTCTGCGGCGTAGTCCCGGCTGAGTTCGTGGTGCAGCACAGCCAGAACGCCAACCCCCCCACCTTCTTCCTGACGCTGCGCGCCTCCGTGGCGGACCTGGGCGCCGGCTCCGTGTCGGACGAGGACTCCGCGTTCCTGCGGCGAATCTTCCCGCGCCTGCGCGCCTGGTTCGTGTGAAAACCCAAAAAACAAAATCGACGGCGTCGTGGGGTTCGGGGGTGGGCGGTTCTTCCGCGGGTCGACAACCACGCGGCCGGCTCGCTGAGCGTTTGTTGTGCGGTTGTTGTACGGCGGCGGTGCACAGGTTCGATTGGTACAACTTGACGCAGAGCGGGCCCGTGCCGCACTCGTTCCGCTGGAGAGGACGAGACGCCGACACCAGCGTCTTCCTCAACCCCAAGACCCTCACGTCCGGCCTGGACGACTACCCGCGGTGAGTCCACCCTGCGTTGCGCCCTCACCGTCTCGTTTCCGCTCCCCCCTCAAGACCCCCGCCTCCTTCTCCCTGGCCCATCCTCCATCCCTCGGCACCCCCGTAATTCCGGTGCCCACTACACCGCCCTCCCTGTACCCCAACCCTATTCACCATATCACTTTTAGCTACCCTAATCGTACCACTCATAACCCTCGTAAAATGCTTTGGATAAAAGCGCGATATAAATATGTAAGATGAGTGAGTGGCGGCTTTCCCCCCTGCCTGCCTCCCCGTGTGTTCCTCTCTCGTGTCCCTCTGTCCTCCACTGTAGAGCAGAGGTCGCAAACGGGTTTTGATTCCTTACCCATACCCGGCCGCACTAGGGTCGCAAATGGGTACCCGTACCCGGCCGGGTACGGGTACCCGTTCCCTACCCGTACCCTACCCGAAATGAGTGACAAACGGTTACTCACCAGTGACTCACGGCCTACCCGTACCCGTACCTGGCCACACTAGGGTCGCAAACGGGTACCCGGACCCGGCCGGTTACCCGGCCGGGTACGGGTAGCCGGGTATCGGGTAGGGTACGGGTATCGGGTACTCGATTGCGACCTTTGCTGTAGAGCCGCGCTGCATGCGTTGAGGGTAGCGAAGGTCTGCTGTAATTACCACGTTGGCTTAAGAATCGAGGAGTGGACTGAGCGCGCGTGTGTTTGCGTGAGAGTCTGTGTGTGTGTGAGTCATTGTCTTTGTGTGTCTCCATGAGTCTGTGTGTGAGTCTGCGTGAGTCTCCGTGAGTCTGTGTGCGAATCCCTATGAGTCTGGGTGTGTGAATCTCTATGAGTCTGTGTGTGAATCTCTGAGTCTGTGTGTGTCTCTATGAGTCTGTGTGAATCTCTATGAGTCTGTGTGTGAGTCTGCGTGAGTCTTCGTGAGTCTGTGTGCGAATCTCTGAGTCTGTGTGTGTCTCTATGAGTCTGTGTGAATCTCTATGAGTCTGTGTGTGTCTCTATGAGTCTGTATGTGTGTATGTGTGTGTGTGTTGGAGTCTCTATGGGAAGCGGAGGTGTGGCGGCCCGAGTTCGATTCCCGCTCACGGCCAACACCAGTGGCGATTATCTGAACCGGTCCTGGGCCTCCCCTAGGTCGACTCAGCCTCAAATGAGTACCTAGTGCGGTGTGTAAACATCGCCGCTAGGGAGACAAAGGCGGTCGGGCGTGGTGCTGGCTCCTCGTGTACCATTCCGGCCTTCATAGGTGCTCGCTAACAGCACTTGCCCCTACAGTCTGTTAAGGCTATACGGGGATCTTTGTTTGTTTTTGTGTGTGTGCGTGTATGTGTGCGTGTGTGTGTATGTATGTGTGTATGTATGTGTGTATGTATGTGTGTGTATGTGTGTGTATGTGTGTGTGTATGTGTGTGTGTGTGCGCATGTATGTGTGTGTGTATGTGTGTGTGTATGTGTGCATGCGTGTATGTGTGTGTGTGTGTATGTGTGTATGCGTGTATGGGTGCGTGCATGTATGTGTGCGTGCATGTATGTGTGTGTGCATGTATGTGTGTATGTGTGTGTATGTGTGCGTGTATGTGTGCTTGTATGTGTGCGTGTATGTGTGTGTATGTGTGTATGTATGTGTGCGTGTATGTGTGTATGTATGTGTGTGTATGTGTGTGTGTGTGCATCCCAGGGCTTCGCATCCCTCTGAGCAGGAGCGCCACGTGGACCTGCGCTGCTGGATGGCGCTGGCCGCCGGTGTCATGGCCGACATCGCTCGTACCATCGGAGTGCCCCACCAAGGTGGAGTCTCACGGGGGTCACGGGGTCACGGGGAGTGGGGTCACTGGGTAACAGAGAGGAGCGTTCGTACGGGGCAGTGACATATCCGAGGTGCGCTTATTAAACTAAAACAAGAGACTTTTTTTTATTTTACCAGGTAAGGCCCACTGAGCTATATCGCTCTTTTTCAGAAGCGACCTGGCCACAAATAATGATAGCCCAACCAAAGCGGCTTATCGTCGTGTGGAAATTGATATCAGCCCAAATAGTTTTGAACGTCCGTTGGAGAGGTCCACGGTTCAGGCCAAGCGGCTGCCCTAGTTAATACCGTGGGAATGTTTACCGTCGTTTATTTAGCCGGGCGCTGGTGGTGCACTGCCGTAATTCAGCACTGTGGAAGTTGAGGGTTGGTGGACGAAAACTCTCTGAATCGGGAGGTCACCCACTCCTGGCTTTCCAGAATATGATGGCAGTACAGCACCATGAGCCAGACCACCCCACTGCACTTGAGAACTCGGCTTCAACCGCAAGGTAGCTGCGATGGACCCCAGATTTTAATCCCCGGATCTCGGTGGTGCCACATCGGCCACCACCGCCTCTTACACTCTGACCTCTCTGACTGCCGTCCATTTCCTCATGCACCTCCTCCTCTCCCTCCTTACTCGCTCGTCCCGTGTCACCACCCCCCCCCCCCCGCTCCTGGTGTGGGCAGCGTACACGCGAATGCACCGCGAGCTGAGCGACAACGACGTCCTGGACGCGCTGCACTGGGCCGAGGAGCTGCAGGCCTACGCCGACTGGGGCAACCACACGGAGGCCGTGGCGCTGGTGCGCGAGAGGGTGCCGCCCGCGGCCGGGCAGCAGCAGTCGCGCGCGCCGCCGCAGATGCGACTGGTACGTGCCGGCCTTCGCTACTCGAACACGTGAACTAAAACTATGAAAATTATATTTTTGTTTTTTACAGATGGGGCCTCATCTGAGCGATACGGTCGTTTTTTCAGAAGCGACCTGGCCACGGTTGACTGCTCGACGAAGTTGGCGGCTTCCCGTCGCGTGGGAATTATAGCAGCTGCCAAATACTCTAAATGCGCGATGTCGATTCTGAGCGTGGACCCGCAGAGAACACGCAGACTCGAAATAAAATATAATTTATAGTTCAGTTTTAGGTCTCCGCCATCGCTGAACCCCCACCTCTGTCGCGTCGTAGGTCCGCGCCGTCCGCCGCGCGCCCAGCGAGCGCTTCGTCAACGCGCTGGGCTACGTGAGCCTCTTCCCCCTGCTGCTCGGCGCCGTCGAGGCCGACTCCCCGCGCCTGCCGGCGCTCCTCGACCTCCTGCGCGACGAGAGCCGCATGTGGACGCCGTTCGGCCTGCGCTCGCTGTCGCGCTCCGACCCCCTCTACCAGAAGCGCAACACGGAGCACGACCCGCCCTACTGGCGCGGCGCCGTCTGGGTGAACCTCAACTACCTGGCGGCGCGCGCGCTCCACCGCTACGCGAAGCTCGCCGGGCCGCAGCAGCGGCGCGCCGGCGACATCTACAACAGCCTGCGCGAGAACGTCGTCGGCAACGTGTACCGGCAGTACGCCGCCACGGGATACGTGTGGGAGCAGTACAGCGACTCGACGGGCCGAGGCCAGGGCAGCCACCCCTTCACCGGCTGGACTTCGCTGGTGGTGCTCATGATGGCCGAGGAGTACTGATGATTACGGCGGCGGCGGCGGAGGAGGAACAGCTGGCGAGGACGGCTGGTCGTTCTGGCGTCCGTCGAGGCTTGTCCTTGGTGTGTTGGGGGCCCCTGATGAAAGGCCGATTTCTTTAAATTTAGTTTTGTCGTACGTATGTGTGTGTGTATGTTGAACTTCTTTTGCACCCTACGCAGCCAACCGTGCTAATCGGAGGTGCGGGGGAAGGACAACAAACTAAACACAAAAATCAGTTCGACAGAAATGAGTTGTCAATCGAAATGATTTAAAAGGGCATAGCTGCAGTTGCTTCCTAATATCAGAAAGAAGAGCATTCCAGACGGCCGCAGAAGCGCATTTGAAAGCGCGCGGTGCGGTGACCGTCTTTGTTTGATGGCGCTGCTGCGGGGATGACCGGAGTTCGCGTGATGATGATGGTTGTCGCTCCTGACGAGATCAGCGAGGTATTGTGGTTCATTTGCGGCCACCACTTTGTGTATTCGCAATCGTGTTCCAGTTCTGCCGTCGGGAAACTCGCAGTGAATCTCGCCCCGTGTGACCGAGGGTGATTCGCAGAAGCGTATATCACGGGAACTGCTTCTGAAATCGCTTGAAGCGAACTTTTATTATTTTTTAAAATCCACACACTCGGGGCTACTGCACTCTTCCACGTTCCTTGCTGTAGAGAAATGTTCACCGTACGACACTTGGACCGTTTTTTTTTTTTCTTCTTGTCAAACTTTAGGAGCCGGAACTTTTGTAAAACTAAGTGAAATGGTAAGTTTAAAAATGATGGGTTTTACTTTATGTGTGTGTGCGCACAGTTTACTGGGTGTATGGGGGTGAGACCATCAACTCCGCTACAGTTGAAAACCGGGTTTAACCAGAAGCCGGTCTACGCGAGTCTCCATGTAAGCCTCTGGGTGCCTCAGTAAGTCGCCAGGTGACCCGATTAAGAGCGTCCAGCCCACTGCACTTGAGAACCCGGTTTTAGCCACAGGGCAGAGGTCGCAAACGGGTTTTGATTCCTTACCCGTACCCGGCCGCACCAGGGTCGCAAACGGGTACCCGATTGCGACCTCTGGGATGAAGCCATGTTGCAGGCGCGGTTGGGTTGATTCTAGGAACTTGAATTGTGAGAAGAGACAAGATGTTGGGAAATGAGTGACAAACAGTTACTCACCAGTGACTCACGGCCTACCCGTACCCGGCCGCACCAGGGTCGCAAACGGGTACCCGTACCCGGCTGGGTACGGGTAGCCGGGTATCGGGTAGGGTACGGGTATAGGGTACCCGGTTGCGACCTCTGCCACAGGGTGGTTGCGATGGACCCCAGATTTGAACCACGGATCTCAGCGGTGCCACCTCAGCCACCACCTTTCTTACACTCTGACCTGTCTGGCTGCCGTCCATTCCCCCCCTCTCCCTTGCTCCCTCATCTCCGATGAATGGTTCCTGTCGCCTTGCTGTCACTTCTCCGGCCACCAAGTCGACTGCAGAATCCCGTAGGCCTTGCACTTGGAGGTTCACGTGCGATCGCTCAGACAACTGTGTGATCACATGACCATGAGCACCTGGTGTCAAAATAGCAACTTAAAATAATTAACGTACACCGCTTTTGTTTGTCCGTTTTTGTTTAAGTTGCTACTTGAGAATTTTGCGAATGCGCGGCCTTCACGCGGGGGGGGCCTGGCCATGCAGCCTAAACATTTCCTCAAGCTGCGAGCGAACCAACCGCGTGGAACAGCATGCAGGCTCCTCCTCGGCAACACAAACACCACCACCCCACCCCGTGCACCGCGGGCCTCGTCCTGTTTGCCAATCGTCGTGAATTTGTAGCCGGAGGCCCACGCAGCTTCGAGGCTATGAGCGGAGGCAGCTTTCCTGTACCGGCGCACGTGACTCGCTGGGGCCTGCTAATATTACCGGCTCCGCCACCACCACACCATCCACTGACCCCCCCCTCCCCCCAATTTCCCCCCCCACGCCGCTTTAACGACCACTAAGCTGACCGTGCAGCCCAGAGCACAATGGGCGATGCCCACCCCCCGCTCTCTCACACGGGTGTCGCAAAACACTGGTCGTATCGAAATGTACTAAGCGGGGAAGAATCCACAATGTTGATTTTGTCGAATGTTTTATTTAATCGGCTTTGTTTTTTTTGTAAGACAAAATAAACCGCCCAAGACACGTCGCTGAAACTCAACAGGTCCAACGAATGTTCTTGCTTCATCGAGATCTCCTGTTGCTCGACCGGCGCCCGTTGCGGGCGGGCGTCCGTGGTTTGTGTTGCTCTGGTCGGGGACGCGTCGACCCGCAGCTACTGCTGCTTCTTCAGATCCTCCGTCTGCTTCGTGCAGCGAAGCGTGGCAGAAGCGGCACAACAGAGCCCTGCAGGATGGAGCCCTGCAGGATGGAGCCACACTATCCGCAATGTAGCGACGTCCATTCAGTAATTTTTATAAAGTTGCAGCAGACGAGCGATGTGTTTGGGAACCGACGTGACGGCTTCCGTGAACTCCAGCGCAGGCCGCGTCTTGCGTCATCCAAGATAGGTCACAATCTCTCACTCGCTCACCGCCCGCCCGCTTATCCGCCCGCCCGCTCGCTCGCTCACCCAGCCAACCGCTCGTTTGCCCACCCGCTCACTCTCCCGCTCACCCTCCCACTCACTCACCCACTTATTCACCCGCTTATTTGCCCGCCCGCCCAACTCAAAGTTACGTCGATTTAATCCCTCGAGCGTCCGCTGTCGCCACCGGCGTCGAGAACGACTCGGGGAGGTCGATGCTCGGGAAGTTGGAGGCCGCCTCCAGCCACTTGGCCACGCTCAGCAGCTCCCGCTCGGAGAAGGCCGGGCCGATGAGCTGCAGGCTGAGGGGGAGACCCCGCGTAGACAGGGCCACAGGGACGCTCACCGCTGGGAGGCCTGCACCCACGCACGCATACACAACAAAAACAAAGATCCCTCGTATACTGTAAGAGACTGTTGGGGCAAGTGAAGGCCGGCATGGCACAAGAGGTAGTGGGTGGCCAGCACCATGCACGACCGCCTTTGTCTCCCCAGTGCCGATGTTTACACACCGCACAAGGTACTCATTCGAGGCTGAGTCGACCTTGGGGAGGCCCAAGACCAGTTCAGATAATCGCCGGTTTCATAGCGCAGCGCACTAACTGCTGCACTACCGCTCCCCACACACACCCGCATGCAACACACGCACCGCATGCACGCTGAGAAAAAAAATCTCACGTAAAAAACATTTCCTGCTCAGAAGAGTATCGAGGCATTAGCGCTCATTTCCTGTTTAGAGCCCCGAGCCCATGGTGGAAATTCCACGTTGCTATGGATGGGTAGGGCGTGTCTCTCCATAGGACACTACTGACATTCCGACTCAAACTCTCTCGCACACTCTCACACACACACACACAAACTCGTACTCCGCAGAACAAGAAGGCCCAGATAAAATGGAGGCATCACCGGCGTCCGGGATCGTAACCCACTCGCCCCCTACTACGCACCGGCCATGTTGACGGGCTGCGTGAACACGTCCTCCTGCGCGCTGCGCGTGCGGTTATCCTCGCTGCAGAAGTCGCGGTGCGTGGGGGCGTCGCTCAACGTGGTGGGCGTCAGCAGCACGCGGACTCCGCTCGCAAACACCGCCTCGAAGTCCCTGGCGATGAGGCGGCGCACGCGCTGGGCCTTCACGAAGTAGCGCTCGTAGTTCCTGCGCAGCGGGGGGAGGGGAGGTCTTTCTCCGGGTCCTTCGGTTTTTAAATCCTTTATATTAAGTTCGCTTGCTTGCTTAGGACCGTGCAAATCTTTCGGTCGTTTTTTAACCCACTTCCCGTGATCCAATCGAGCTGACAATTTCCACACAGACTCGTTGTGCGTGACAATTAATTTTCGTGAAATTTTTTTTCCAAAATTTTACACTGTTTAGGGAAAACAAATTAAATATTTAATTACCAATTGCTTAATACTGGCAGACAATCATCTGACCCATAGGTGGCAGCCATCTCAAGCCAGAGGACGAGAGGACTCTAGCCGCCACGCATATAAAGGATTTATAGTGAAAAACTTTGTTTTTACAGGTTATACTTATTCCGCTCCACATTTAGAATCGACGTGCGTTCAGAGTACTCGGCTGCTATGAATGTCCACACGATAAAAGCCACTTTGTTGAGCTATTATTTGTGGCCAGGTCACTTCTGGAAAATATCGATATAGCTCAGTGTGTCATTAATTGTCTGATAACACCTTCATATATATAGAGAACTGCAGAGCTTGCGTAATTATTGGTGCCGGCTCATTGCGTCACTGCCTTCTCGCTTATGTGCGATTCCTCCTCGCACCTGCGAGTGGTTCTCTCTCTACGAGAGTGAGTGAGATGACACTTATTATTTTAATTATCTCCGACGCCTTGTGACCAGAGGTCGCAAACGGGTTTTGATTCCTTATCCGTACCCGGTCGCACCAGGGTTGCAAACGGGTACCCGTACCCGGCCGTACCCGTACCCTACCCGTACCCGGCCGGGTACAGGTAGGGTACGGGTATCGGGTACCCGATTGCGACCTCTGGGATGAAGCCATGTTGCAGGCGCGGGTGGGTTGATTCTAGGAACTTGAATCATAAGAAGAGACAAGACGTTGGGAAATGAGTGACAAACGGTGACTCACCAGTGACTCACGGCCTACCCGTACCCGTATCCGGCCACACCAGGGTCGCAAACGGGTACCCGTACCTGGCTGGGTACGGGTAGCCGGGTATCGGGTAGGGTACGGGTATCGGGTACCCGGTTGCGACCTCTGCTTGCGACATCGCTCACGCCGCTTACTGCTTCAGCAGAAAGTAGTTCCCGGCGAGGATTCGGCCCCGTACTACGTCGTTGAAGCCCTCGTGACGTGTGGCCGCGTACATCGCCTCCGTGGATTCATCCACCGCGCTCCTGTGGCCTGCGTAAAGGGGCGCCAATCGCTTAAAACGCCGTCCTGGAAAAAAATCGACAATGTCGTTCACGGCCCTTTCTCTATCCACTGCTGAACGAAGGCCTCCCTCCGCACCGTACCTCTGCGACGAGCGCTACAGCTGGGTCGTGTCGCCAGTGCGTGCGTCAGCAGGAGGGGGGAGCTACCGTGTATCTGTTGGCGCGCCGTGCTACGAATCTGGCGACCCGAGTTTGATTCCTGCTCACGGCCAACATCAGTGGCGAATATCTTAACAAGGTTATAGGTTGACTCGGCCTTACGGTGTGTAAATCTCAGCACCGATGGTGGTGTGGCTAGAGCCACGCCCTGCCACCTCTGCCGCCCCGATCGGTGCAGCGCTCATCAATCAACGACTCGAGCACCTTCACAAACAGCGGCAATTCACCAGGCCCTGCTTCCTGAAGGCGGGGAAACCCCGACGAGCTTCGCTCAGCGCGACACGCCTGATGATGATGATGACGACGCGGTGGCAGCGAGTGAGCGGCGCAAGTTCACAAGTGGTGGGTAAGTGGTTGTGCATTAGCGGTGGAGGTGCGATAGCTGCTGCCGCCACCATGGTGCCGGCGGTGGTAGCAGCAGTGGTGGAGGTAGTGGTGGAGGTGGTGGAGGTAGTGGTGGAGGTGGTGACGGTGGTGGTGGCGGTAGTGGCAACGGTGGCGGTGGTGGTGGTAGAGGTGACGGTGGGGGTAGTGATGGTGGGGGTAGTGACAGGGGTGGCGGTGATGGCGGTGGTCGATGCGGCCGCACCGTACTGCAGGCCGTCGAAGCGCGCCATGTTGGAGGCCACCTCGGCGGTGCACAGCACGTGGTAGCACACGATGGAGTGCTGCGTGTGCGGGAGGGACACGCGCTCCACGCGCGCTCCGCCCGCCTCCAGGAGCTCTGCCGCGCGGCTCCACGCGGCCAGCACGTCCGCAGAGAGACCCGGAGCGTGGTACTCCTGCACAAATGCAAAGGATCCCCACCCCCCCGCTGTAGTCTTTAGCGGACTGCTGGGGCAAGGGCAGTTGCGAGCGTCTGCGAAGGCTGGCACGGCACACGAGGGGGCGGGTGGTCAACACCATGCCTGGCCGCCTTTGTCTCCCCAGGCATTCGTTTAAAGCCGAGTCGACCTCGGCGGGGGCCCGGTTCAAGTAATCGTCACCGGTGTTGGCCGTGAGCGGAAATGGAACTCGGCAACGACTACGCCGCCACTCCACACCGCCAACAGACAAAGACGCGCCCTCCCCCATCGCGTGAACAGACTCTTGCGGCGAGCGACATCACCTACGACGGCCACAACGGAAAACACGAGGGGGAACTGAACTCTTGTCGTGGGTTTCACAGCGCGGCGCTCACCCACTGCAAAGACGACCGCTCACCCCCACGCACTTACCCCCACGTCTCCACGCACGCACTCACCCCCACGCACTTACCCCCACGTCTCCACGCACGCGCTCACCCCCACGCACTCACCCCCACGCACTTACCCCCACGTCTCCACGCACGCGCTCACCCCCACGCACTCACCCCCACGCACTTACCCCCACGTCTCCACGCACGCGCTCGTCCCCTAGCACTCACCCCCACGCACTTACCCACACGTCTCCACGCACGCGCTCACCCCCACGCACTCACCCCCACGCACTTACCCCCACGTCTCCACGCACGCGCTCGTCCCCTAGCACTCACCCCCACGCACTTACCCCCACGTCTCCACGCACTCACCCCCACGCACTCACCCCCACGCACTCACCCCCACGCACTTACCCCCACGTCTCCACGCACGCGCTCGTCCCCTAGCACTCACCCCCACGCACTTACCCCCACGTCTCCACGCACTCACCCCCACGCACTCACCCCCACGCACTCACCCCCTAGCACTCACCCCCACGCACTTACCCCCACGTCTCCACGCACTCACCCCCACGCACTCACCCCCACGCACTCACCCCCACGCACTCACCCCCACGCACTCACCCACACGTCTCCACGCACTCACCCCCACGCACTCACCCCCACGCACTCACCCCCACGCACTCACCCCCACGCACTCACCCCCACGTCTCCACGCACGCGCCCATCCCCTAGCACGCCCGCGCACAGGGTGGCCGAGGTGCCCGTACCTCGGGGATGCCCACGTGTAGGCCGCTGACGCTGCCCTCGTGCGTCAGGGAGAACGGACGGAACGCTTCCCTCGCCGACGTCGAGTCCAGGGGGTCCACGCCACCCAGCACCCCTATGGGAGGTGGGGAGGGGGGCGTTAGAGGGGGAGGCGTTAGAAGGGGAGGGGAGGGGGGCGTTAGAGGGGGTGGAGGGGGGGCGTTAGAGGGGGTGGGGCGGGGGGCATTAGAGGAGGTGGGGGGGGCGAAGAGGGAGTGGGGGGACGTTAGAGGGGGTGGGGGGGCGTTAGAGGGGGTGGGGCGGGGGGCGTTAGAGGGGTGGGGGGGGGCGAAGAGGGAGTGGGGGGACGTTAGAGGGGGTGGGGGGGCGTTAGAGGGGGTCGGGGGCGTTAGAGGGGGTGGGGGGGGCGTTAGAGGGGGTGGGGGGGTGTTAGAGGGGGTGGGGGGGGCGTTAGAAGGGGAGGGGGGAGGGCGTTAGAAGGGGAGGGGGCGTTAGAGGGGGTGGGGGGGGGTGTTAGAAATGGTGGGGGGGCGTTAGAGGGGGTGGGGGGTGTTAGAAGGCGGGGGGGCACAGTTGGTGAGACGCGCGTCAACCCCAACAAACTCATCACCTGCTTAAGCTTCCAAGACCTGGCAACATCCGGTGCATTCTGGGTGAATTGGCCTTGTGCCGTGGCCACAAGAGCGCTGAAGGGAGGTTTCACTTTAATTTCAACCATCTCAGTTTCTCGCACCTCCGATTAGCACGGTTGCCTATGTACGGTGCGAAAGAAGTTCAACATACATACAAACAAAAGCTATTTATTTTAAAGCACTGTCTTTTGCTGGGGGTATTCTGTACGAATCATTAGGTTTTAGCCAAATTCGTCAACTCAAACTAAAATTATAAACTAAATGTTTATGTTACCAGGTAAGGCCCACTCAACCATATAGCTCTTTTTCAGAAGCGACCTGGCCACAAACGATAGCTCAACGAAGCGGCTTGTCATCGTGTAGAAATGTATAGCAGCAGCCAAATACTCTAAACATACGTTGATTCTAAAGTTGGAGGGAAAACCCGGAGATAAATCCAAGCGGCCACAGGGAGAGAGACACGCAAACTCCAAATATACAGCAGGTGTCGTCAAGGTCGGGATCAAACCCACTGCCCTCCTGTATACCAGGCGAGGTAGTTAACATCTCCTAGCCACTGTGATGATGATGATGATGAGAGAGAGACACGCAAACTCCAAATATACAGCAGCAGGCGTCAAGGTCGTAATCGAACCCACGACTTCCTGCATACCAGGTGAGGTAGTTAACATCTCCTAGCCACCGTGATGATGATGATAATGAGAGAGAGACACGTAAACTCCAAATACACAGCAGCAGGCGTCAAGGTCGGGATCGAACCCACGACCTCCTGCATACCAGGCGAGGTAGTTAACCTCTCCTAGCCACCGTGATGATGATGAGAGAGAGACACTGCAAACTCCAAATATACAGCAGCAGGCGTCAGGGTCGTGATCGAACCCACGACCTCCTGCATACCAGGCGAGGTAGTTAACATCTCCTAGCCACCGTGATGATGATGATGATGAGAGAGAGACACGCAAACTCCAAATATACAGCAGCAGGCGTCAAGGTTGGTATCGAACCCACGACCTCCTGCATACCAGGCGAGGTAGTTAACATCTCGCCACTCACCCAGGACGGTGGCGGCGTCATCGGCGCTCGAGGCCAGGACCCCCGGCACGTCCATGGAGTTGACGAGGGGGATGAGGCCGTGGCGCGACACGAGGCCGTACGTCGGCTTGAGGCCCACCACTCCGCAGCGCGACGCCGGGTTCCGCGTCGAGCCTCCCGTGTCCGAGCCCAGTGCGCTGCTCCGCCACAGTGGGAGGGGGGGGGGTAGGGGGGGGAGGGTGGTAAGAGTCAGCGTTGTTAGCGGTTCGTCAGGGGTCCACGTCAGGAGAGAGAGGTCACCATGAGGTCGAACAAGCGTCCGCACTGCACGAGTTTGACACTAAATATTTAAAGTGGCGGTAAGAGAAACAAGACGCAGCATGGCCCAGATGTGAGTACGTACGTTAAGTTGTTTCGTACCGTACGTAGCCAACCGCGCTAAGCGGAGGTGCAGTGTTGAGTCTATGGGTAGTGTTGAGTCTATGGGTAGTGTTGAGTCTATGGGCAGTGTTGAGTCTATGGGTAGTGTTGAGTCTATGGGTAGTGTTGAGTCTATGGGCAGTGTTGAGTCGATGGGTAGTGTTGAGTCTATGGGTAGTGTTAGTCTATGGGTAGTGTTAGTCTATGGGCAGTATGTATGTTGAACTCCGCATGTGCCTGCACTCCAGATTGAAAACTCGTTTCTTTATAACTGATTTTTGTCGTTCATTCGTTGTCCTTCCCCCCCATACCTCCGATAATTATCACTGTTGGCTATGTACGGTGCAAAAGAAGTTCAACATACATACATGCGTTCCATGCTGTACTCAGTTCCTGCACCACGTGGCACCACAGGGCACCACGTGGCACTGTACCACACCACAAATAAGCATTGCCCCCGTCCTCTAGCTTCATGCAAATTTGAAGGTGGTTGGTACACGACCACAGCCAGAAACATGGCTCACGATTTGCACGTTTGTCTACGTAAGGTGCGAAGGAAGTTCAACATGCACACACACTCACAAGAAACACGTTCTTGCCGCAACAGCAGCGGCGCTCCCACCAGAGCTCCCGCCTGTGATCAGCCACTCCCCGTCATCACCGTCGCCACTGTCGCCAAGGTGGTGCCGCTCGCGGTAGGAGCGCGAGTAGCCCCAGGGGTTCCGCACCGGCCCGAACACGCTGTCCGTGCTGCCCGAGCTGCGGCGAGAGGAAGAGGGAGAGAGGGCGACGGTGCAAGACGTAAGGGCACCGCACCAGCGAAAGCGCTGCACCACACCGGTGACTACTCGGGACTCACCCGATTGAGAGCCAATCCAAATTGAGTACGGCATTGCCCGTAACCTGGGACACCCAAATTAGAGAAAAAAAGTACGATTTGCAATTATGAAAATACCTTTTACTGACAGCTACACACTGTACTATTTGTTTTTTTTGGTAAAGTCACAGAGGTAGAAAAAGGAAAATAAATTAAATCACGACGTTTCTGAGGCAACGCAAGTCTTCAGGTGGAACCGTCACCGCAAAATTGCTGTATCAAGTGGCTGTATGCTGTATTGCTGTATCAAGTTGCCTCCGAAACGTCGTGATTTAATTTATTTTCCTTTTTTTACCTACGTGACTTTACCGAAAAAACCAAAGAGTATGGACCCTTGCAGTCACTAAAACTTCAAATCTAGAAGCTACACACTGGTTTCCATGTTTTTTAGAAGAGGCAAAGGTGCAGCCCTGCAATTGCTCGCTTACGCGACTGCCGGCAGAAGGGCCTCTACTAGAGGGAGCTCTAAAAGGGCTCTTGTGGAGCTCCTTCTAGAGCAGTGGTTCTTCACCTGGGGTGCAAGCACCCCCTGTGGGTGCGAGATGCCCTTTCTGGGGGTAGCGAGACATGACGGATGTTCTTCCAAGTTAAATCATCTAAACACAAACTAAGCACGGGCACGTAAGTACAACTATTTAGTTTCGGCAAACCCAATGTATTCATTAACATCATAAATGTTTTAACGATTGAGAACCAAAGGGGCACAAGGCTGCAGTAAAGGTTAAGAACCACTGCTCTAGAGGGTATTTGGCCGACTCTTTCATGCTGGCAAGACGTCTTGGAAGAGGTGGGATTGCTCACGCTTCCATACTGACAATTAAATGCTTGTGTAGTGTTGTAAAGGACGGACTTCTAAACTTCTTTATGGCACACACTGTTTATTATCCTAACACACAGTCTCCTGACCCTGCACAGCTCACACTCACTCTTCGCTCCTATTCTACGAAGGTACAGCCTTCGGACTTGCTGTCTATCTAATATTCCCACTAGCCTAGCGTCCTCCGGCTGGGACCTAGGGGAGGCACACCGACCCGCCGCTGGCCCGGCGGGTCCCCGACCTCTGGTCGCTCAAGACCTTCGCCCTCACAAGGGCGGGAAGGCTGGGAGCCAGGGCCCTATCCAGGACCTATCTCCCCTGACCACTGGTTACTCTGAGCCCCAGCCCTGACAAGGGCTGGAAGGCTTGGTCAAGGGTCCTAGATGTCTTCAGCCGACTTGGGTCTTCGTGTAGCAGAACTCACCAAGAGCTCTCAGCGCTCCGGCTTTTATACCTGTTCGTGGCCGGGTTGACCAATCCCCGGCCACCTCGTGGACCCCTTCGATTGGTCCTTTCCAATCTGGCGTTTGGATCCTACCTCACCCCACTTGACCCTAACCGTTAGATTGAGCGGGAAAACCTTGTTTACTAATTGCTCTCTCACAGCTTGCGAACAGCGAGTAGTTATCGCCACTGCACTTGCAAAGACGACGTTCGTCTCCAGGGCTCGACTCGACTGCCCTCACCCCATGCCGAACTCATCCAAGTTGGTCTTGCCAAGCAGCACTGCGCCCTGGTCCAGTAGCCGTTGCACCACCGTGGCGTTGAAGGGCGGCACGTAGCCTGGCGCGCACGGTGCCCACCAACACCAAGAGCAAGCCACAGGGCATCCGTGTGTGTACCGACGCACACACGCACGCACACGCACGAAAATTATAGTTTAAATTTTGAAAAGCAGAGGACAACAATAAAATAGATTGACAGCTTGCTGCTCTTCTGACATGCGGTTGTGCAAGGGCACCGCCATCTTTTGATCGAGCGATACGTCTGAAATCTAGCGGAAAAAATACCAATGGGTCACGTCTCATTCACTGTACAGATGTGTGTGTGACTGTACAGGTGTGTACAGGTGTGTACAGGTGTGTTCAGCTGTGTGTGTGTGTGAATGTACAGGTGTGGATTTTACTTGCGGCTGTGTGCAGGTGTGTCTTGTGCCGTACAGGTGCGTGTAGATGATGAGTGTGTGCTATTGTAAGAGGTGTGTCTGTATAATCGTAGCTGACACTGTGCGGCTGTGTAGATGTGTCCGGTAGGGTACAGGTGTGTGCGGGAGATGTGTTTCTGCACAGGTGTGTTTGTGTGTTGGCTGTGGCACCTTGCAGCATGCGGGAGGCACACGTGGTCTCGATGCCCTTGGTGCTAAAGTTGTCCTTGACAGCAAAGGAATTCCGTCCAAGGGGCCCAGAGGCTGCCCTGAAGAGGGTGAAACAGGCAGGGAGTTACCTTATAAACAAAAGGGCATCACGAAAAGACGAATGGCTCTGAACCAGAGGTCGCAACCGGGTACCCGATACCCGTACCCTACCCGATACCCGTACCCGGCCGGGTACCAAGAAGATGAATCCCTGCAGTCACGAAAGCTTTAAATCGAAATTCAGGATTTAATCATCGGTGTTTGCCTGCATTTGAACCCTGGATCTCAGCGGTGGCAGTTGAGCGCTCTGACCTCTGAACCATCCGGCCAGGGTTCAATCCCCCTCACGTGTCAAAAGGTGAGCGCTGGCTGGCTGGGGGGGAAGGGGGAGAACGTTAATTTTGTTTGCGCAGCATCAGCTTCTAACCCAAGCGGTGTCGGCGCTCGGATTCGATCGCTTGGCTCATCGCCCGCTCTGGCGCGAGAATGATGTAGGCATTGAGGCGTCGCGTCTCATCCGCCCAGGCCAGGCAGCGCCGGCACAACTCGACGGGAGACAGGGATCCATCGCGCAGCGCCGCCGACGCCTGCGGTGAGAGAGAGAGAGACAACCCAAAGCGCTTGCGAGCATCGTCTCGCCGACCGGTGTGGCGGCACGGGAGGCCCTGCGTGTCGGTGTAGCGGGCACAGAGAGAGAGAGAGGAGCCATCATATGCCTAGGACCCATGGTAGGGGGTCATTTACTAAGATCCTATTGGGCTGCTTGGTGGCCAGTACTATATGGCAAATGTAGCAAGTGGGTTTATGAAGCTATGATGTGCGGCGGACCTGTCGTGTGTGTGTAGAGTAGAAAACATGATAATGTAGGCAAGTGATGAAGGAAACTGGCACTATTTGGACACGCATGTAAGATGGACAACAGGAAAATGAAAAGCGTGTTGCTCGGAGAATGTTTACTTAACCCACCACCACCCGGGAGCCAGTTAGTAAGGTTTGTCACGTAAACTAAACGTGCCAGTTACTGTAGTTACTACTTCAGCACCCCGCGGTGTTGGAGAGCAAACCCGCCATATTTACAATTCGAGTACGACCTTTCGTTGGTGATTGCAACAAGTTTCATCGAGATATATTTTAGAATTGTCTCTAACCCCACCCCCCTCCAAATGTTTTTTGCGATTAATAATGTTCGCGAAATCCTACGTGTTAAACGGAATTCCTAGTTATACAGGGGGCTTCAAAAATGTTTTAACACTTGTATGGTACTAACTAACATGATAACAAATTTCGATTTAAAGCTTTCGTGACTGCAGGGATTCATATTCTTGGTTCTTTCGGTAAAGTCACGTAGAAGGGAAATAATAAAATAATAAATATTATTTTTTAATAAAATAATAAAAATATCTTTGTATTATTTCCCTTCTATGTGACTTTACCGAAAGAACCAAGAATATGACAACAAATGTAATGTTAATAGCTTCAAAAAGTCAAAGAATCTCTTCCACTTGTTCGTCATCATTGTCAACCTTTGCCTGGAATCTTCTCCAGGTGGTCTCCAGAGCCCGGATGCACATGTATTGTGGCGCTGTTGCAAATTCTCGGAATTGTTAACGTTTTTTTGAAGCACCCTGTAATATGACACTTAACACGAAGGCTGACGCCGTCTGGTAAGGACATTCGCACGAGGAGCGAGTGTGGACACACACACACGGGACTCACCTGCTTGAGTGTCAGTCCCAGCATGGTGCTGCTAGGGGGGTGGCGGAGAGTCGATAGTTGCCTGGGACGGGTTAGAGATTGTTTTGATCTCTAGAAGAGCCACGTGGTCAATGGGAGAGTGACGGAGAGAACGACATAGTCGGGGAGTCTTTGGCAGCTTAAATCAATTACTGGGAGAGTCAGGGATGTTAGTGGAGTCGAGGAGTATTTGAGGGACCGGGAGAGTCAAGTGGTTAATAAAATACACAATAACTTTACGGGAGAATCGATGAGGGAGTCAAGGACTCTGTGGGAAAGTCGATGAGTGAATCAACGACTCTATGGGAGAGATGAGGGAGTCAACGACTCTATTGGAGAGTCAATGGGGGAGTCAATGACTCTATGGGAAAGTCGATGAGTGAATCAATGACTATGGGAGAGTTGAGGGAGTCAAAGGCTCTATTGGAGAGTCAATGACTCTGAGAGTCAATCAGAGAGTCAATGACTCTATGGGAAAATCGATGAGGGAGTCAAGAACTCTGAGGGAGTCAAGGACTCTATTGGAGAGTCACTGAGTGAGTCAAAGACTCTATGAGAGAATCGATGAGTGAGTCAACGACTCTATTGGAGAGTCAATGAGTGAGTCAAAGACTCTATGAGAGAATCGATGAGTGAGTAAACGACTATTGGATAGTCAATGACTCTATGGGAGAGATGAGGGAGTCAAGAACTCTATAGGAGAGTCAATGAGTGAGTCAATGAGTGAGTCAAGGACTATATTGGAGAGTCAATGAGGGGGTGAAGGACTCTATGAGAGAGTCGATGACTCTATGGGAGAGATAATGAGGGAGTCAAGAACTCTATAGGAGAGTCAATGACTCTATGAGAGAGTCGATGAGTGGGTCAACGACTATTGGATATTCAATGACTCTATGGGAGAGATGACGGAGTCAAGAACTCTATGGGAGAGCCAATGAGTGAGTCAAGGACTCTATGAGAGAGTCAATGAGGGGGTTAACAACTCTATAGGAGAGTCGATGACTCTATGAGAGAGTCAATGAGTGAGTCAAGGACTCCGTGGGAGAGTTGCCGAGTCGCGAGCGCTCTGCGGCGGAGTCAATGACAGGATCGCGAGGCCCACGTGACAAATCCTCCCTGGGCGCCGCCATGACGCTCGACCTCTGACCCCGCAGCACCGCGCGCGCTCATTGGCCGCGGGTGCGAGTAACGCGCGCGCTGATTGGAGGAGGCGGCTCGAGGGGGGCGGGGGCTCTCAGCTGATCGGACTCAAGCGAGACATGGATATTGTACTCGTGTGATCATTATCGTCATCACAGTTACACTAACTGATGTGTTATTATTATTGATAGCCTGTGTTGTATTTACACGAATGTTCATAGTTGTAATTGATGATACCGCCGATGTTGTTGCCGATTATATCGCTCGCCTCCGCGTTGAATTGAGGCGAGTCTGACCCGCTGATCGCTACTCATAATTAAGGTAACTGGTACACATCAAGTCGTGATCACTTGCAGTGCTCTCGTGTGTCATTCCACTGCTGGATGAGGACCCCCCCCCCTGCCCCGCCTCCACACCAGAGGTCGCAACCGGGTACCCGATACCCGTACCCTACCGATACCCGGCTACCCGGCCGGGTACGGGTAGGCCGTGAGTCACTGGTGAGTAACCGTTTGTCACTCATTTCCCAACGTCTTGTCTCTTCTCACAATTCAAGTTCCTAGAATAAACCGACACGCGCCTGCAATATGGCTTCATCCCAGAGGTCGCAATCGGGTACCCGATACCCGTACCCTACCCGTACCCGGCTGGGTACGGGGGTAGGGTACGGGTACGGCCGGGTACGGGTACCCGTTTGCGACCCTGGTGCGGCCGGGTACGGGTAAGGAATCAAAACCCGTTTGCGACCTCTGCTCCACACCCGTGTCGATAGTAGTTTGACCATACATCATAATAATAGGGGTTTCCCCCTTTTTTCTGGCAACAAAACTGAGAATTTTTTTCGAGGATTCATGTAACTGCATTAACCACAATACTGTCAAAATGCAAACAAAAGACACACCATGATAATATATTGGCATTGTCCTTGAAACTGATTGGTCCACACCAAGGGACGGCTTTCTTTTGAGCCTCGACTCTAATTAGCACACAGAGTTGGTGTACGGTGTTTTTTCTGCAATATTTTGCTGTCTTTTCTAGGATTTTCTGTTTGCACTTAGTCACATATTCACTTTAAGATGTTTTTTGTTCATGTTTTTGTTTTTTGTTTGTTGCGGTTGCACCCGATTCAAGAGCCGAATGGCTCACAGGGCTATACCTAATACATGAACTTGAAATAAATGAAACTTGACCCAATTGGTGCTCGACCAGCGGACGCCCAAAAGACGTACCAAGGTTTCAATTTTGTTGCCAGAAAAAAAGGGGGAAAACTCCTATTATTATATGTTGGTACTGGCAAAGGAGGTCTAATGATGACCATACATCGTCGTCACCATCACGCTGGTCAGTGACAGTTCATGGAGAGGCTTTAGCTGCGGGACCGGTTGAGTTCTTGTAACTTGCCACTGACGTTAGCCGTGGACGGGGAACTGAACTCCCGTTTGTCAGCCTCACGGGGTAGGGGGCCCATTGCGCTCACCGCTGCGGCGACGTTTGAGAAACGCGCCTAGCGGAGGGCGCGGTGGGCTGACCGCTGCGCGCGTCTAGAGGGTGGTGGTCCAGATGTCTCGTGACCCCCCCCCCCCCCCTAATTAACTGACCCCCAAACATGTTTTTTGTTTCTAGATTTGAAGCTTTCGTGACTGCAAGTATTCATATTCAGTTCAGTAAATATTCAGTAAAGTCACCTACGTGACTTTACCGAAAAAACCTAAGAATATGTTTTTTGTTTGTTTCCGTTGCATATTAATTAATGTTTTAAGTAAACCTTTTAATACAAAAAATATTACGTTTGACAGAATTCAATGGCGGGTCACAAGACATCCGGACCGTGGTTGTTGTTGTTGTTGTTTGACTTGCATCCCACTGGGATTTTTGCACACAGCGTTCATATACGGTGCTTTTTATGGAAGACTTTGCTGTTTTTTTCCTGGATTTTTCTGTTGCGTGTCGTCACTTTAAAATGTTTCTTCACGTTTTTGTTTGTTGCGGTTGAAGCCGATTCAAGAGCCGCACAGGGCTACACCTAATAACTGAACTGAACCATCCTTTATAAAGGATTGTTGACATGGAGTTACATCATCGTACGCGTGGTGTAACTGAAAATTTCAACACATTTGTCTATAGAACTGCCTTAAAAGAGAGAAAAAAATATGTAAAAGGCGACGTTTCGGGACATGGACCTTCATAGCACACCAATGAGGTCACGATTTTTGTGCTGATGAAGGGCAATTTCCCGAAAAGTCGCTTATATATATTTCACATGTAAGTTTATTTGATTTTATAATACAGGTTTTCTTTTGGGTTAGATCGAGTAAGTATAAATGTGTCGTTAAACCCGCCACCACAGCTAATTAGTAAGGTTTGTCACGTAAACAGAACGTGCCAATTCCTTATTAGTACAGCACACCGCTGTGTTGGAGAGCAAATCCACACTGTTTACAACACACCGGTGTGCTGTACTAGTAACTAATTGGCATGTTCTGTTCATGTGACAAACCTTACTAATTGGCTGTGTCGGGTGGTGGCGGGTTTAACGACATTTATATTTATGCGATCTAACCCCAAAAAAAACCTGTATTTTGGATGATACTGGTCGCGAAAGTCGCCTACGTGTTAAACTTTATTTGATTTGTTACAACGCATGGCCCCCGGTTAGATGCCCGGCTATTTTACACGGGAGATCCAGTGCTCGCTATCCCATTCACCGCAACCTCACCAGCCAAACGAATTCGACTTTTAACTTTTTGTTCCGACTTCTGCCTTCGCCGCTCGCAGCACTAAGACCGGGGGGCCATGTCGTACGCCCTGTGCCGCTGGCGGGCGCTGGCAGCGCGGGCTAGCACACAGCGGCCCCTTCAAGCTGCCCACGACAACAGGGGCCTCCTCCTCGCGTCTCCCGCTGCCGGGGGAGGTTCCCTCGCCACGGCCCCCGCCCGGGGCCTGCGATGCTCGGCGGCGCGCGCGTCCGTCATGCCGGCGTGGCAGCTGCAGTCGTACGGCGGGCTCGACGCGCTCCGCTACAACGCCAACACTCCCTTCCCCATCATCGTCTACCCCAACGAGGTGGTGGTGAGGGTGCACGCGTCGAGCCTCAACCCCATCGACGCCGCCATGTCGCGTACGTACGTTTGTGCGCGCGCGTGTTTGTCGGAGCGCTCGCTTGGGTGCGAGAGGCTGTGCGTGCGTGAGTTGGGCGTACGAACCCGGCAACCCGAGGAAAATTGTCGCTCACTGCCAAACACCGGTGACGATTATCTTAACCGGTCCTGAGCCTCCTCCGCTAGGTCGACTCGGCCTCAAATGAGTACCTGGTGAGATGTGTAAACATCTTCACTAGGGAGACAAAGGCGGCCGGGCGCGGTGCTGGCCACCCACCCCTCGTGTGCCGTGCCGACCTACATAGGTGCTACTCACGAACACCACTTGCCCCAATAGTCTGTTAACGCTACACGGGGGGGTTCTTTGTGCGTGAGGCCACATGTACCTGGCCTGGTACAAGCGCCGTGATAATGTCACTGCCACTTAGCGGCGAACAGCGGCCTTTGTTGTCGCTGTTGTCGTTGTTGTGCGAGTCGCCGCGTGGACAAGGCTGCGTGGTGACCTCTCGACCCCATTGCCCCTTGCAGGCGGATACGGCGCGCGCGTGCTGAACACGATGCGCGACCCCCTGCGCATGAATCCGCGTGACAGCGAGCTGCCCCTCGTGCTGGGCAGGGACTGCTCTGGGGTCATCATGGAGTGCGGAGTTTCTGTCCAGCACTTCCGCCCGGGCGACGAGGTCACTCGCACACACAAACACACACCCGCAAACTCACCCACCCACCTACTCACCCACTCACCTACTCACCCACTCACCTACTCACCCATTCACATACTCACCCAATACCAATATTCACTATTCGCCATTAAGTGGTGGTGACATCACCCCGGCACCTGTGTCAGGCCAGGTGCACATTGAGGCCACGTGAAGTGTCGAAGGCTCACTGACAGGAGGTCACGGGACAGACCCAGGTGCCATGGGTTTACTGACTGAGATGCCTGGCAGATGCACCAGCTGTGTCCCTTACTCTGCCACCGACCCACTCACTCATTCACCAACTCACACACGCACCCACTCATCCACTAAACAACAGCCGCCATTCGCCACTAAGTGGTGGTGATGTAAACACAGCACTTGTGTTAGGCTAGGTGCACTCCGAGGTCACGTGACATGTGTGCACGGGGCTGGTAACCGCTCCATCTGCCACTATTTTCTACAAAATACCACGGTGGAAACACCCAACTAAGCTTGTGCTGGAGGTCCCAGGGGGAGAGGCTTTTATGATGCCTTCTCGATAAATCCCATGTGGCAGAGCCAGCCTGAATCCTCCCTTTGGACAGGCGACCACTGCGATTGGCCACGTGGAATGTTCAAACTCTCGCTGCAGAGGAACGGCTGCCATTGCTGTATCGGGAGATAGACCGATAAAAGACAAAGATCCCCCGTATTGTCTGAGTAGATTGTTGGGGCAAGTGCTGTTAGCGAGAAGCAATATGAAGGTCGGCACGGCACACGAGGGTGGCCAGTACTACGCCTGACCACCTTTGTCTCCCTTTATACACCGCACGATGTACTCATTTGAGGCTGAGTCGCCCTTGGGGCATGCCCAGGACCAGTTCAGATAATCGTCAGTGGTGTTGGTGATGAGTGGGAATCGATCCTGGGTCGCCGGGTTGGATATATGTTGAACTTCTTTTTCACCGTACTTAGGCAACCGTGCTAATTATAGAGGAGCGGGTTTATAGCGCAGCACGTTAACCAGTCCACTACCGCTCCCCAACAATAACAACCACCATTCGCCACTAAGTGGCGGTGACGTCACCACGATGCTTGTGCCAGGCCATGTGCACCTTGAGGCCACATGAAGTGTCGAATGCCCGCTGGCAGGAGGTCACGGGGCAGACCCAGGTGCCACGGGTCGACTGACCGAGATGACCGAGATGACTGGCTGATGCACCACCTGTGCCCCCTACTGTGCCAACTTGCTGTGCTTTAGACACCCGGCGCTCCGCTCGTTGTTGTGAGCGTTGCTCCTCCGCCCTCCGTTGTTGTTGGAGGGCGACTGCCTCCAACTGCCCAGTAGCGTCCTTCACGAGCCTCCTCCACAGAGGCCACTCCCCACACACGTTGGCACTTACAGTCGCACACACACACGTACAAGAGTGCTCACAATCACACGTGCATGCACGCATACACAGACGCGCGCACACACACACACACACAGTATGTATACACGCGCGCACGTACACTCGCGTACATTGGGATGTTGTCCACTTGGATGAGTGACCGCGTTGTTGCTTGATGACCCTTTGGGAGCAGGTGTGGCTGGCCTTGCCTCCGTGGAAGCAGGGCACGTTCGCCGAGTTCGTCGTGGCCAGCGCCAACGAGGTAGCTCTCGCACAAAGCCGTTGTTTCCCCAGTGGCCCTCGTGTGCGTGCTTCCCCATCTCTTTCTCCGCGTGGTTACTGATTTTGACGCAGAGCAACAACTGTGATTCTGCATATTCTTAGGTTTTTTCGGTAAAGTCACGTAGGTAAAACATTAAAATTAATAAAAGTAAAATAAAAATAAAATAAAAATCACGACGTTTCGGAGGCAACACAAGCTTCCGTATTCTTAGGTTTTTTCGGTAAAGTCACGTAGGTAAAAAATTAAAATTAATAAAAGTAAAATAAAAATAAAATAAAAATCACGACGTTTCGGAGGCAACACAAGCTTCCGTATTCTTAGGTTTTTTCGGTAAAGTCACGTAGGTAAAACATTAAAATTAATAAAAGTAAAATTAAATAAAAATCACGACGTTTCGGAGGCAACACAAGCTTCCGTCTTCAGGTGGAACCGTCACAGCCACGACAGCTGTATCAAGTAAATGAGAGATTACAAGAGCTACCACTCCGTATATATAATGGTTGGAGAGGGGAAGGGCTTAGTAAGGCACACTTTTTATTAATATGGTAAGGTGAGGCTTAAGACTAAGAATAGACTGCATAACAAAGGCTGAGCCTTTGTTATGGAGAGGTACGGTTTGTGACTAAGCCTGGCCTACATAACAATAGTGTGAAAAAAGAGAAAACAACTAAACATGGTAAAACAAGCCTGGCTGTCTATCAATAATCTGTAATAGTTGTCTGTCAAATAAGATGGACCAAATAAGTGTAGTTAAATCTTTTTTGCATGGTTAATCACATCTTTCCAATGATTACTCAGTTTGTAACCATCATCACGGTTGAAATTATGTCTGTGTTTGTATATTTGATTCTGCATTGAGGTGGTTGATGAGCCCAGATGATTGCGGCAGGAGTAGCGGGAGTGGTGCGTCGTGGCTGTGATGTATGCCTCCCCCTTCGTAAGGCTTTGAATCTCTGTATGAGTCCATGTATCTCTACATAAGCATTTGGGTCTCTGAGTGTGTGGGTCTCTATCTGAGTCTATGGGTATCTGTGTAAGTATGTGGGTCTCTGAGTGTGTGGGTCTCTATCTGAGTCTATGGGTATCTGTGTGAGTGTGTGGGTCTCTGAGTGTGTGGGTCTCTATCTGAGTCTATGGGTATCTGTGTGAGTGTGTGGGTCTCTGAGTGTGTGGGTCTCTATCTGAGTCTATGGGTATCTGTGTGAGTGTGTGGGTCTCTGAGTGTGTGGGTCTCTATCTGAGTCTATGGGTCTCTGTGTAAGTATTTGGGTCTCTGAGTGTGTGGGTCTCTATCTGAGTCTATGGGTCTCTATGTAAGTATTTGTATATCTGAGTGTGTGGGTCTCTATGTCATTATTTGGGTCTCTGAGTGTGTGGGTCTCTATCTGAGTCTATGGGTATCTGTGAGTGTGTGGGTCTCTGAGTGTGTGGGTCTCTATCTGAGTCTATGGGTATCTGTGTAAGTATGTGGGTCTCTGAGTGTGTGGGTCTCTATCTGAGTCTATGGGTCTCTGTGTAAGTATTTGGGTCTCTGAGTGTGTGGGTCTCTATCTGAGTCTATGGGTCTCTATGTAAGTATTTGTATATCTGAGTGTGTGGGTCTCTATGTCATTATTTGGGTCTCTGAGTGTGTGGGTCTCTATCTGAGTCTATGGGTATCTGTGAGTGTGTGGGTCTCTGAGTGTGTGGGTCTCTATCTGAGTCTATGGGTATCTGTGAGTGTGTGGGTCTCTGAGTGTGTGGGTCTCTATCTGAGTCTATGGGTATCTGTGTAAGTATGTGGGTCTCTGAGTGTGTGGGTCTCTATCTGAGTCTATGGGTATCTGTGAGTGTGTGGGTCTCTATCTGAGTCTATGGGTATCTGTGTAAGTATGTGGGTCTCTGAGTGTGTGGGTCTCTATCTGAGTCTATGGGTATCTGTGTAAGTATGTGGGTTTCTGAGTGTGTGGGTCTCTATCTGAGTCTATGGGTATCTGTGGTTGGGTCTCTGAGTGTGTGGGTCTCTATCTGAGTCTATGGGTATCTGTGAGTGTGGGTCTCTGAGTGTGTGGGTCTCTATCTGAGTCTATGGGTATCTGTGTAAGTATGTGGGTCTCTGAGTGTGTGGGTCTCTATCTGAGTCTATGGGTATCTGTGTAAGTATGTGGGTCTCTGAGTGTGTGGGTCTCTATCTGAGTCTATGGGTATCTGTGAGTGTGTGGGTCTCTGAGTGTGTGGGTCTCTATCTGAGTCTATGGGTATCTGTGAGTGTGTGGGTCTCTGAGTGTGTGGGTCTCTATCTGAGTCTATGGGTATCTGTGAGTATTTGGGTCTCTGAGTGTGTGGGTCTCTATCTGAGTCTATGGGTATCTGTGTAAGTATGTGGGTCTCTGAGTGTGTGGGTCTCTATCTGAGTCTATGGGTATCTGTGTAAGTATGTGGGTCTCTGAGTGTGTGGGTCTCTATCTGAGTCTATGGGTATCTGTGTAAGTATGTGGGTCTCTGAGTGTGTGGGTCTCTATCTGAGTCTATGGGTATCTGTGAGTGTGTGGGTCTCTGAGTGTGTGGGTCTCTATCTGAGTCTATGGGTATCTGTGAGTTTTTGGGTCTCTGAGTGTGTGGGTCTCTATCTGAGTCTATGGGTATCTGTGTAAGTATGTGGGTCTCTGAGTGTGTGGGTCTCTATCTGAGTCTATGGGTATCTGTGAGTGTGTGGGTCTCTGAGTGTGTGGGTCTCTATCTGAGTCTATGGGTATCTGTGAGTGTGTGGGTCTCTATCTGAGTCTATGGGTATCTGTGTAAGTATGTGGGTCTCTGAGTGTGTGGGCCTCTATCTGAGTCTATGGGTATCTGTGAGTGTGTGGGTCTCTATCTGAGTCTATGGGTATCTGTGAGTGTGTGGGTCTCTGAGTGTGTGGGTCTTTATCTGAGTCTATGGGTATCTGTGTAAGTATGTGGGTCTCTGAGTGTGTGGGTCTCTATCTGAGTCTATGGGTATCTGTGAGTGTGTGGGTCTCTGAGTGTGTGGGTCTCTATCTGAGTCTATGGGTATCTGTGAGTGTGTGGGTCTCTGAGTGTGTGGGTTTCTATCTGAGTCTATGGGTCTCTATGTCATTATTTGGCTTTCTGAGTGAGTGGGTATCTATCTCAGTCTATGGGTCTCTATGTAAGTATGTGGGTCTCTGAGTGTGTGGGTCTCTATCTGAGTCTATGGGTCTCTATGCCCTGTGCCGACCACCCACAACAGGTGGCCCACCGGCCGATGCGATTGAGCCACGAGGAGGCGGCCTCCATCCCGTACGTGGCGCTCACCGCCTGGTCCGCCCTGGTCACCACGGGAGGGCTCAACAACAAGACGGCTCGCGGCAAGAGGTACGGCAACCTGCACAGCTGTTGTTAGTGAGCACAGCTGGTAAGGGCGACTGGCACAGCTGTTGTTAGTGAGCACAGCTGATAAGGGCGACTGGCACAGGTGTTGTTAGTGAGCACAGCTGGTAAGGGTGACCCATACAGCTGGTAACAGCGACCGGCACAGCTGTTGTTAGTGAGCACTGCTGGTAAGGATTGCTTTAACACCTGCACTCACTCACAATTCAACGATTAGACTGATCCCTGTGTAAAATAATATGAATAATAATAACAACTAAAACTAACGTTGGGTGACGTGTTCACTTGAGAGTCTGTTGTTGTTGTTGAATTGACAGGGTTCTCATTTTGGGTGGATCGGGAGGAGTGGGGACATTCGCTATCCAGGTGAGATTGGTGCAGTTCCCGGGGCAATGCTGTCTCCGTGCGGGTTACACGTCGACTGCCAACGGCAAAGTGGCTGGGCACGCTTGGGGCAGCAGCTGTCCCGGTGCGGCAGATGGGTTGACACACAGATGGGTTGACACACAGATGGGTTGACACACAGATGGGTTGACACACAGATGGGTTGATCGGGGCTGCGGCTTGCATGCAAGCGGTCCGTTTGGAAGGCGCAGTTGCACGGCATCGTCTAGCGATGACGGTCTGTATCGTATCGCGAATAGTTTGACAATCGTCTCGTGCAAGATATCGCGCTGTTGAAAAAATTATACGGAACATTGTGTCGCATCGTCGTCGGTCTGCAATCTGTTCTATAACGCCGCGCGTTGTTTTCATAACGCGAGTTGGATATAACCGATGATGAATGTATTATGGAACACATTTTTTCACAACGCGGATGCGAATTGTATATAACGCGATCGAGTGACTGGAACTACGTCGCAGCGCGAGTAGGAACAAGCGGTCTAACAGCTGCCTCAGCGTAGCAGCACCACACAAGGCAGTGGGATGCTGCTGGATGCTTCTAGATGCTACCCACGCACCTCGGTCTTTATTCGGGCTGCGTACGCATCTCACGGTGTTATCGCGGACTGTGCTTTACCCCTACATTATATATTATTGATTATAACGCGATGTTTCCATTACGCGGTGTTCTTGAGGAACGCAACTATGACCGTGTTACATCGCATTGTGAAGCAAGACATCATCATCACAATAAATGAAATCCCGACGTAAAACATCGTATCGGTATCGTGCAACATAGCACGTGACAAACGATATCGCATCGCGACAGAAGATTTCTCGTGAAGAAGAAAACTAAACCAACGGAACATCTTATTACGTCGAATCGTAACCCTGACACAAAGGGCATTGTATCGCGTCTCGAGCAGAGGTCGCAATCGGGTACCCAATACCCGTACCCTACCCGATACCCGGCTACCCGTTCCCGGCCGGGTACGGGTAGCCGTTTGCGACCCGGGTACGGGTAGCCGTTTGCGACCCTTGTGCGGCCGGGTACGGGTACGGGTAGGCCGTGAGTCACTGGTGAGTAACTGTTTGTCACTCATTTCGGGTAGGGTACGGGTATCGGGTAGGGAACGGGGGTACCCATTTGCGACCCTGGTGCGGCCGGGTACGCGTAAACCCGTTTGCGACCTCTGGTCTCGAGTGTCGAAACGGGACCCGCGCCGCAGCGAGAGGCGGCCTTGTGGTGACCTCGCGGCAACCCCGCGGCGACCCCGCGGCGACTCCGCGGCGACCTCACGGCGACCTCGCGACGACCCCGCGGCGACCCCACGGCGACCTCGCGGCGACCCCTGACGCCGCTCCGGCTTTCCCCGCCCTGCCCCCCGCGCAGCTGCTGAAGGCGTGGGGCGCCCACGTGACGGTGACGTGCAGCGAGGACGCCCGCCCGCTCCTCGCCGGCCTCGGCGCCGACCACACCCTCGACTACCGCCACCGCGACCTGCCGGAGCGCGCACGGGCCCTCTCGCCGTGAGCGCTGACCCCTGCCCCTTGACCTCCCCTCCCGGGGCACCCACGGGCCCTCTCGCCGTGAGCTGCTGACCCCTGCCCCTTGACCTCCCCTCCCGGAGTACCCACGGGCACTCTCGCCATGAGCTGCTGACCTCTGCCCTCCCCTCGACCAATTTGGGTTAGATCGTGTAAATATAAATGTGTCGTTACCCCACCACCACCACGACCACCCTTCACAGCTCTGGCAAACCGCCTGTGGGTTTACTCTCTAACACGCCGGTGTGCCGAAGTAGTTACTAATTGGCATGTTTTGTTTACGTGACAAATCTTACTCATTGGCCGTGTCGGGTAGTGGTGGGTTAACGACACATTTATGTTTACGGGATCTAACCCAAAAAAACCTCTATTATGGATAATTTTGGTCGCGAAAGTGTTAAACATCCCATTTGGCCCCCCCTCCAACCCCCACTCCCCCCCACCATTCCCCCCTCCATCGCCCCCCCCCCCACCCCACCAGATTCGACCTAGTGCTGGACGGAGTAGGGGGCTCGCTGGAGCAGTGGGCCCTGCGCTGCCTGCGACCGTGGACGAGCGCCAAGTACGTGACGCTGGTGACGCCGCTGCTGCTCAACGCCGACCGCTTCGGCCTCGGCGACGGCATGGTCAAGTCGGGCCTCACCCTGGGCCGCAGGGTGCTCTCCGTGAGTGGCGCGGCGTCCCCCCCCCCCCCCCCCCCCCCCCCCATTGCGGCGTCCCCTGCGCACGAGCCCCAAGGGCACGATCGTTCACCTCGACGATTCGCTCATTTGCTCATTCGCTCATTCTTAAAACATTGGAAGGGGCCACCCCCCCCCCCCCCCCAGTGGCAGATGTCGCTGTGCAGCATAACGTGACGGAGCACGTGGCCAGCAAGCCCGCATTTGTCTGCGATGATTGCTGCTGCGTGTGTGTGTGTGACGAGATGTAAACTACCTCGCCTGGTGTGCAGGAGGTCGTGGGTTCGATCCCGACCCGGAAGCCTGTTGTATATTTGAAGTTTGCATGTTCTCTCTCCCCCGGGTCGTGTGGGTTTTTTTCCGGGTCCTCTGGTTTTTCTCTCCACATTTAGAACTGTACGTTTTCGAGTGGGCCTTACCTGCGAAAATAATAATAATGCATTTTATTTATATCGCGCTTTTCCAACACTCAAAGCACTCAACAGTAAAAAGCATTCAATATCATACATGCAAAAAAAGCGATTACATATAAAAAAAAATAGTTGTTTTTAGTTTATCTGCATGATCGGTGATTCGCTCGTAGTCTATGTTTTTTATCGCATCACGGCGCCGCTGCCGTGGTGATGGCGGCGGCGGCGACGGTAACCCCCCCTCCCCGTCGTTGTCCTCGTGCGCTCAGAGCTTCTACAGCGGAGTTCACTACCGATGGGGGTTCTTCACGCCCAACGGCCCCGCCCTCGACGACATCACAGAGCTCGTCAACAGCAAGAAGGTGAGGGCATCGTCATTCAATCGTCGTCAGCCACGCTCGATCCACTGCTGGACGAAATGAAAAATTAACGTCTGGAAGTTGCAGGGTGGGTGTCCCGTTCACCGCTGATTTTCGGAAAGGCACAAGGGGTTCAGCGTTGATTTTATTTAGAGAGGCATAGCGCCACTGGTACTATTAGGAACCACCTGGTTCCACCAGCCCACAGGGGATTATTGTGTCCGTCCGTCCGTCGTGCATCCAAAAATGTGAGGGGTGGGTCTGGGTGGAGAGGGCTGGGTGGGGAGGGGCTGGGTGGGGAGGGTGGGGAGGGGCTGGGTGGGAAGGGAGGGGCTGTGTGGGGAGGGTGGGGAGGGGCTGGGTGGGGAGGGGCTGGGTGGGGAGGGGCTGGGTGGGGCTGGGTGGGGGTGGGGCTGGGTGGGGAGGGGCTGGTCACCCCGTGGTGCCCTTATAAAACTCAACGTTTAACCTACTCACGCCGGCTTGTGCCCGCCCTCACAGTCGGCCATATTTGCGGAATACACCACGCCGCCGTTGACCCTGGCCATTGACCGAGCAACCCAACGTTCCTACCAGCTCCCTCCGCAGGAATGTGTTTTTAAAGACATTGTACTCACCGCAAACAACGTAGCGACACAACCGCACTCTACGATAGCTGGTGCCAAATTGTGCCACACGCCCTCCCGCATGGCCTTGTGGGCGCCTCGATACCTATAAAGTTATTTAATTTTTTCTTCCGGTTCCGTTGCGATGATGTTCATGTACGTCATCGCAACGGGAGAGGATAAATCGTCGTCGTCGTCCATGGTCGATCCACTGCTGAATGAAATGAAACATGGGCACAAATGGAAGGAAAGCGGCTGAAAAGTTTGCAAAGAAGCGTGGAAAAGTGTACGCTTGGAATTACACCGAGAGACAGGAAGAAGAACACGTGGATTAGAGAACACACGCAAGTTACAGACGTCATATTGACCGATTAAAGTCATAAAACTGAGCGGGCTTGGGCAGGATGCGTCGCTGGAAGGGACGATGTGGCCTTGTGGGTGGTGGTCGAGACTAACGATGGAGTGTCATCTAAAGGAGGGAACACATCGGAGAGAGACGTCTATCGCTGAGATGGAGCGGTGAAATGGGCTCGTGGTGCGATGATTCCGTCTAGCGTCTGCTCACGAGCTGATATATTGGGCGCCGATGCCGTCATTGTAGCTTCGACTCACTGGTTATTCTGCGCAAGGTCCAACTCACATTTTAGAATCAGAATATGTATTTGTACTGGAGGAATCAGATGACGTAAAAAGCTCTTTTTCACAGATGTCCAGTTGAGGCGGGTCATAAAGTTACAACAAACAATACGAAAACATGATCGGAGTGGAAAATATAGGAAAGGTGAAAAAATCACTGAAAAAATATATACAAATAAAACTAAACTATTTTTATCTTACCATGTAAGTCCCACTTAGCTTTTAGATTATTTTTAAATCCTTTATATTAAGTTCACTTGCTTGCTTGCTTAGGACCGTGCAAATCTTTCGGTCGTTTTTTAACCCACTTCCCGTGATCCAATCGAGCTGACATTATCCACACAGACTCGTTGTGCGTGTCAATTTATTTTCGTGAAAATTTTTTTCCAAAATTTTACACTTTTTAGGACAAAAATATTATATTTAATTACCAATTACTTAATGCTGCCATGCAATCATCTGACCCATAGGTGGCAGCCATCTCAAGCCAGAGGACGAGAGGACTCTAGCCGCCACACATATAAAGGATTTATAGTGAAAAACTTTGTTTTTACGGGTTAATTTTTTCAGAAGCGACCTGGCCACAAGCGATAGCTCAACGAAGTGGCTTATCACTTGGAAATTTATAGCAGCTAAATAATTTAGATAATCGGGGAATATGACGTCCATAAATCCCCTCTCTCGTCGTAACTCCGAGGTTTGTGCTTCACCACACTTCTTTGCGAACTGTTCAGCTTTGGTCCCATTCCGTTTATGCGAGTGCCCATGTTTCTTCATACCTAATGTATGTATAGTGAACTTCTTTCGCACCAAACATAGCCTGCCTTGCTAATCGGTGGTGCGGATTGGCTGCTTGGATACTTGACCAGATGTGTCAAGATTCAGGCAGCTAATCAGGGCTCACCTTGTTTTGTAACTATGATCATTATTATCTTTAGGGGCATTACCGTAACCATTGAAGTGTGCATAAGCCTTTTTAACTCGTACTTACTGCGCTGGCTGGGCCATGTTTCACATCGTGACAAGCTCTAACAATCGTGCACTATGTAAATCTATATAAGATAATTGATTGATATTATTGGTTCTTTCGGTAAAGTCACGTAGAAGCTAAACAATAAAATAATAAAAATATAAAACAATAAAATTCTCACGACGTTTCGACTGCAACACAAGCAATCATCATCAGGTGTGAAAAACAAAAAAAGAAAAAAATGTTTCCCCCCTCCCCACTCTTGCACTCCCGCAGATCCGACCCGTCGTAGAGAAGGTTTTGCCCTTCCAGGACGTGCTGAAGGGTTTGCACGCGATGGAGAGGGGCCACGCGCGTGGGAAAACCGTCGTCACCGTCTCCTCGGCCGCACGATAGCGCCTCTGCCATGGCGTCGTGTAGCTTCGGCGGAGGGAAGGGGCCGGGTGGAGGGGAAGGAGGGGGAGGGAGCGCAGAACTGGGCTCTATCGATTGTTGAAGCCGTCGGATACTCGACCGATTCACGAACTCGATCGCTCGACCAATCGGGTTGTGAGGAAGACAGCGGGAGAACAAAAGAAGTGTCGCTTCGGTTCCCGTGGGAGGGTGATGGGCGGGGCTTGGTGACATCATCGACATCATCGTCACCGACCGCGTCACACTGGGCGTGGCTTGTACAGGGGGTTTCCCGACTTCGGGAGGCAGGATGTGGGGGTGGCCCCAATATATCGATTGATCAACTTGATCGACTCGCCGCCCCGGCTCTCGTTGGGAGCGCGGCGTGTGTGACGCGGCGTCGTAGCGCCCGTAAGCGGTGTGACGGAGCGTGCCATCCTCGCAAGGGTGAGACGCCGGACCCTTCCGTCCCGTGAACTTTTAACGTAGAAGAACAACAGTGCTGTTTTCAAGTCGGCCATTGTGTGCTTAGAAGCGAGCTGGTTAGCGCATACGGCGGGTTCTGAGTCCGACCGTCAAACTCCTTTGGCGCGGGCCACATGTCCACACCGACGCCTAATTTTGCGTGACCCAATGATAACGCGAAAATAAATAAATGTCCATAATTTATTGTACGTCGCCGCAATTTGCTGTTGATATCCCCCCCCCCCGCGCCTCCCATCCGGTGCACCTCGAGGCACCGCATTTGAGACCAAATATTCCACAATGCAGCGTGGACAGCAAACGCAACAAATGAGGAGATAACGAAGTCGGGCAGCTAATCCGGGGGGGGGCCCTTTCCGCACCTCCGATCGGCACGGTCGGCTACGTACGGTGCGAAAGAAGTTCAACGTAGACACGTGCTTTCAGCGACGCTACATTACAAGAGCGGTGTTGCTGCCAGGTTGAAAATTGTTCTCCCCCCTCCCCTCTAGCTCCCGATCAGTGCGGCTAAGATTGCGTTGCCGCGACGGTTATGAACATCGCCAGCGGGCCGAATCAAAGCACCTCCGATTAGCACGGTTGGCTACGTACGGCGCGAAAGAAGTTCATATACAGAGCGGCTAAGTCGAGCGAAGGCCCTTGGTGAACGGAAAGTCTGTCGATCGCTGCCGCTCGGATGTACGATAGCGAATGGGAAATAAACAAACTCGATGCTTTGTTTGCGCGGTGGGTTGGTGATGGATGTGCCCTACTGCACGATCCGTCCGTAAATGCTCCACGCCATGTTCGAGGTACATGCCTGGCATGCTCTTAAGTTTTTTCGGTAAAGTCACGTAGGTAAAAATAAATAATAGAAATAAAATAATAAATCACGACGTTTCGGAGGCAACGCAAGTCTCCGTCATCAGGTGGGACCGTCACAGCTAGATTTATTGTATCAAGTGAGGAAAAATTCCAAGAGACGAGCTCTTAAATACAAGTTAAGGGGGAGGGGGGGGTTTATCTGAATGTGGTAGCCAATGAATGGAACGTGTTGAGGGGGTGGGCGGGTCTAAAAGAGAACAATCGGTGCACCTCAACTCGGGGTTGTAACCGGTGTTGGCTGACAATCCAAATACAAAAAAATTAACCCGTAAAAACAAAGTTTTTCACTATAAATCCTTTATGTGCGTGGCGGCTAGAGTCCTCTCGTCCTCTGGCTTGAGATGGCTGCCACCTATGGGTCAGATGATTGCCTGCCACCATTAAGCAATTGGTAATTAAATATTTTAAAAAATTCCTAAAAAGTGTACAATTTTTGAAAAAAATTTTCACGAAAATAAATTGTCACGCACAACGAGGCTGTGTGAAAAATGTCAGCTCGATTGGATCACGGGAAGTGGGTTAAAAAACGACCGAAAGATTTGCACGGTCGTAAGCGTGCAAGCAAGCAAGTGAACTTAATATGAAGGATTTAAAAAGCAGTACTGTTAAACGCTGGGGATGTCAACACTCGGTAAAGTAGAATAGTACCTATGAGACCTCCTTTACCAGTGGCAAAATATAGTAATAGGTTTTTACCCTTTCAACTGGTTTGTTTGCATTTTGACTGCTTGTGTTGTGGTTATTGCAAACATGATGCCTTGTAGAAAGGTGTCAGTTTTTCTAGCAGTTGAAAGGGTAAAAACCTATTACTATAGAATAGTACCTGTCAAATAAGATCGTACATTATGGGAACCTCATTTGCCAGTAAAAATATGATAATTGGTTTTTTACCCTTCTATCATATTTTTACTGGCAAAGGAGGTTCCCATAGTGTAGATGCTTGCCCCGAGCTCTTATACTCTGATGGTGCATTGTCTTTGAGTTGTGCGCCTTTTGGCGTCATCTGGTCCAACACCATGTGAGACTAGGCTCTAAGGAAAGCTGTCTCGGGTGTGGACCAATCAACTTCAAGGACAGTGCATACATTATCAGAGTTATGTTTTTTTGTTTGTATTATGACTGCAGGTATTGCGGTCTATGCAAACATGACTCCTTGTAAAAAGGTGTCAGTTTTGTTGCCAGATAGAAGGGTAAAAAACCAATTATCAAGATGGTACATGGCTTGCATGTTCAATGTGTGGACAACTCCACGCTCCGCCAGTTTGTGCTCCATTCCGTGTCGCAGCACGTGCCTTGCACAGGTCACGGGGCTCCGCTCCATGTCCCTTCAAGCTTGCTCCATGCCGTTTAAAAAAAAAAAACTTTTTTATCTTCAGTTTCATTTATTTATATTCTTGGTTCTTTCGGTAAAGTCGCGTAGAAGGGAAATAATAAAATGATAAAAATAAAACAAGATAAAACTCTCACGACGTTTCGGCCACAACGCAAGCAGCCGTCCACAGGTGAAGAACGGGGCTGTCGGAAGGACATTGGGACACTGAGAATTGTATCTTATTATGTTTTATTTTAATCATTTTATTATTTCCCTTCTACGTGACTTTACCGAAAGAACCAAGAATATGAATCCATGCAGTCACGAAAGCTTCAAATCGAAATTAATTAATTAGGTAGAGCCCTGTGAGCCATTGCAACCGCAACAAACAAAAAACAAAAACAAGAAAACATCTTAAAGTGACTCTGAGCACATAGAAAAATCCTGGAAAAAACTGCAAAATCTTCCAGGCCACACGCACAAAGTTGCATCTCGCATTCTCTGAATAGTTCAAGTAGTTCAAGTTCTTCTGAGTAAGAACCACAGACACGCAGGAGGGCCCCCATGCGTTGAGCCGACGCCAACACTATCCCTGATACTCTTAGTTCTTTCGGTAAAGTCACGTAGGTAAAAAATGAAATTAAAATTAATATAAAATAAAAATCACGACGTTTCGGAGGCAACACAAGTCTCCGTCATCAGGTGGGAGCGTCACAGCCAGATTTGCTGCATCAAGTTCACTTGATTTTAATTTTATTTTTTATTAATTTCATTTTTTACCTACGTGACTTTACCGAAAGAACTAAGAGTATGAATCCTTGCAGTCACGAAAGTTTCACTTTCCCTGATGCTTTTACTAAACTACACACGTGTATGTGTGCACTATATGTTAAACTTCTTTCGCACCGTACGTTGCCAAATCGCGCGAATCGAAATCGCGGGAAACTTACGAACCCAATCGCTGTACCTCAATTCATTGGTAAATATACAAATCCACCGGCTGATGCGCAAGTCAGCTGCGAAATACAAACGTGCCCCCTCCTGCCTGCGCGCATGCGAGCCAGTAAATATAAACGCGACTCCCCCATGCCCAAGCAAACTGGGTAATGTAATTGGCTCGTGCGTAAGCGAACTAGCAAATGTAACGTAGCCCCGTGGGCCTATCCGCTGTGGGAAATCTCGTGGGCAGAGGACCCATACCCACGCAAACTGGGAAATCGAATTACTCGTGCGTAAGCGCACTGGCAAATGCAAAGCCACCTTATCCGCTGTGGGAAATCTCGAGGGCGGTGGACCCATGCCCACGCAAACTGGGAAATCAAATTACTCGTGTGTAAGTGCACTGGTAAATATAAATACTCGTGCGTAAGCTCACTGGCAAATACAAAGCGGCCTTATCCGCTGTGGGAAATCTCGAGGGCGGTGGACCGCGACCACGTGACGCGCGGCCGTGCTGGTGACGCGGCCGCCATCTTGAGGCGTCCAGTTCGCGGGATTTGAGTTGCCGAACGCCGTCCCAGCCCCTTCGCCGCGTTGTCGATTCTCGCCTGTCCACCCCGGGGCTTCGTCTCGGTCGCCCGCACACCCACAACCGACGTAAGTTCACCTGTGTTCGACACCGGGTCCGTAAAGAGCGCGGTGGTGTGAGGGTTTCTTGTGTGTGTGGGCGAAGCCTGGGCTTGTAGGCCGCGGCCTACCCGCAGGCTTCACCGCTTCCCTCACGCGTTGTTGTTGTTTGTTGTCGTGTTGCATTAAATAAGCGAGACGTTTCAATTGCGTTTCGCTTCGTTACGGCCGTAGTTGCACGCGCAGCGTTGTGGTTTATAGATGTTCGCGGTGTTGTTTTAGGGGGGGGAGTGTGTCGCGACGTTTGTCCGGACTTGACCCTGCGCGGGAAACTCGACGCCTTCAAAGACCTCTGCGCTTTCAAAGACCTCTTAACCAACGCAACTTAAATATAATACACCGTGCATTGATGCAGTCCCGCAAACAGCACTCGACTCTATAAACATCTCGCAAGAAGAACCGTGGTTTAGCAGCGACCTGCCAGTCGGTTCTTGAGTCAACATTTGCTATGCAGAGCTCCCCCCCCCATACACCAATTCAGTCATCTCAGGTGAAGTGAATTCAATACATTACGAAAACATTCCTCATTTAACTCGTGGTATTTTGTGTTTCATGCCACCGGCAAGGGCCGTGGAGGGCGTTTGTGTGTGGTTGGATGCTGTTGCATCGGTGTTTCTGTTTTGCAAACCTCGTTGCATTACACTTAAGTTGCTCTCTCGCGCCGCCGCACGCTGTCAAACTACATCACTCCGTCTTGCTATGGGACACAGTTGTCACGGGTGCTGTGTTGTGCCTCGCAATTTGCGCTGCTTTTGATCATATCCTCTTGTCTGCTCTCGGTTGTGTTGCATCCCTACCATTCAAACCGTGTTACATTGAGCCGTGCTCTTTGGTAGGCTGTCAAAATGGCATCAAACCGCGTTGCATTGGATCCAGTTGTACTGCGTATGCTGTCTTGCAAGTTGTGCTGCGGCGAATCGGGCTGTCTGCAATGAGCTGTTCTGTGTACGTGTTTACCTGTTGTGCAAGCAATGCTTTATTAAACGCGTTTGTCTCGTGCGCTGTCTTCCCCACAAGGTATGCTCCACTCAGACCTGCTGTTCCTTCATGTGTTGCATCTCTACCACGCAAACTGACCTGCTGCTTATATATACTGCCCACCAAAACCTGAGGCATAAGGCAGCAGGAAGCAATGATGGCGATACTCAACAAGATTTCTAACAGGGATATAACCAGTTGTCCTCTGCTGTCTAAAATAAAGAGGCCACATTTTAAAAACTATTTTGGAGGTTATGGTCTTAAAGCAATATGCCTCGTACGTGCAGTACACGTATGGTGATGGCATGAGACATACATGGGCATAGCGGGACGACTGGTCTCATGCTTTTAAAATCGCGCATTTACTCTCCCATCAATCACCTTTTGAGTAGTATTACTAAGTATCCAGCCCTATGTGTGTGATTGCCTCCTCGTGTTGCATTCCTCTGTAAGCCATGCAACATTCAGCCCTTGCATCTCAAGTTATGTGCCCCTGTTCTGCAAGGTGTGTTGTGTTCACCCTCGCTGTTCAGTGTCTGTGGTGTTTTTTGCCCTGGAAGTTTGCAACGCGTTCCTGCTTCGTGTTATTGTGCACCTTCTGTCTGAACCTTGCTGGTTTTTTTTTGCTGTTCATTAATTCAGCAATGCTGCCGCTTGTCTGCTGTCTCGTGCAAACCGTATTGCGTTGTATAGCTCTGTAGTGACTACGTTCAACATCTTATGTTCATCTTAATGGTTACTTGGCTCTGCGCTGACCTGTGCTGCCTTGTGCATGCGTCAGAGCGGGCTGCCGATTCTGCTGTTGGAACGCGTGCCGCACCCAATAGGTGTTCCAAATGCTCGTAAACGTCTTATCGGTAACGTTATAAAGGTTGTTGTACATAATGTCGCGTGTGTGCCGTTGCAGACTTGGCCATGGCAGACGGGGAGCCACCCGCCAAGCGGGTAAGCCATGGAGATCTTTACCAAAACACTGACGCCTGTAACGTGTCGCCAGTGCTTTGTTTCTAAGTGATGCGAGGGCATATGCTGGGGAAAAAAACATGGTAACTCTCAGATGCGCATTGTTTGTAAGAAATAAAGTAAAGTTACGATGCAAATAGAAGTCAAAGCAAAAGCAACCGCTTGCATACAATAAAAGTGACGGATTTGTGTGTGGAAATGTGTGGTTGCCTTCCAAAGGTATTTGAAAGTCCCATTCGGCCATCGGTAAATATAAGGTTCCCCATGCCTGCTTCTAGCGTCAACAGTTCAAAAACTTAATATTGCTGATGATGCAGCCGCACCGACCTCGTTATTGTTGGTTAATGTTTTCGGTTGTAATGGTAACGGATGTTTGTTTTCCCGTCCTCAGGTGCGTCTTTCTGACGACGAGTTGCGCGCCATGTCAAGGGAAGACCTCTTTGTGAGGTGCGCAGAAAATGTTTCTTTGGTATCAAAATGCCCTCGGTGACGCGCCCACCACCCGCCGTTTTGCCTTGCCGGCTGAAATATGCGTTTTTACACCTGTTAACAACTCGCGATTCCTGCATCCAATGGTGATCTTGGGAATCGATT